TTAATTATATATATAGGTATAGATATTATATTTTATATTATTATTAAGTATATTTATTATAGTTTAAATTTTAATAAGTATAAAGTTATTATTAGTAAGCTTTAAGTTTTAAATAACTTTATAAATATTTTTATATTTATAACCTTTAATAAATAGCTTATAAGGTTAGTTAATAGATTTTATATAGTTATTATAGTTATTATAAGTTTTATAATAAATAAATAATAATAATAAGAAGTATTTAATATTAAAAAATAGGAGAGGTAATAGGTAAGTAGGTATAAATTAATAAAAGAAAAGTTATTAGTTATATAAATAAATATAGAAAAAGGAAGTAAGTTTAAAAATAAAATAATAATAGTGAGTTAATAAGTACTATATAGGTTATATTAATAAAAGGTATATAGTTAATTAATAGATTTTAAAATAATTATAGTAGTTATTATTTTTATAATAGTTATATCTTTTTTAAGTAATATAAAAATATATAAAAAAACTTATATTTATTAGTAATAAAAATTAAGTTTATTTATATTTTTATTTATTTATAGATATTAATAGGTATAATAGTGTTATTATATTAATATTTTTATTAGTATTAAATATATTAAATAGGTTTTTAATTAAGGTTATTTAAAGGTTTAAAGGTTTATTATAGTTAATAATAATATTTAGATTATTATTTTTAAGTTAATTATAATATTTAAAGTTAGTATTTTATTATACTTATTAGTAAAAGTTATTATTAAATATAATATATATATAGTTAAAGTTATTAACTTTACTTTAAGTAATATTAATATTTTTATTAATAAAGTTTTTAACTTTAAATGGAGTTTATATAGTAGGTTTTTTATAGTTTTTAGGTAATATATTATTTTATTTTATTAATTAGAAGGCTTATTAATATTTAGATTTTAGATATAATAAAAGTAGTAGAGTAATAGTTATTATTATTTTAATTAAAGTTATATTTAAGTACTTATTTTATTATAATTAAAAATATTATAGTAAAGATATTAATAATAAATATATATTAAGTATTATATATTAAGTTTTTATATATTTAAATATTTTTATAAAGTTATTATTTATATATTTAAGAAATAAGTTAATAAACTTTTATAATTTATTAAATATTATATATCTAATAAATTTATTAATTAGTATTATATAAATTAATATTTTTATTTATTTTTAAGTGTAAAAGTTATAAAAATAAAGTATTAGTTTTTATAATTATAATAATTAATATTATAAAATATTAAAATAAAGTATAATATTAGTTATTATAATAAGTTAATATTATTATAGTAGATAGTATAATAAAGGTAGATAAGTATATAAATAATTTAAAGTAGATAATATTAATTTTTAAATTATATATTTATATTTTTAAGAAGGGTTAAATAGTAAATATAGTTAATAGAGACTTTATATTAAATATATAAAGATAAGTTCTTCTTAATAATATTATTTATAATATTATTTTATTATTATTTATTTATAGTTTTAAGTATACTATTAATTATATAAGTAATTATAAAGTTTTTAAATATATTACTTAGATTGTTATTTTAATTAATATATTACCTAAAAGTACTTATAATTATATTATTATTTATAGCTATATTAAATTAAAAGAGTAAATTAATTATATTAAAGTATATTATTTAATAAATAATTAGAGTTAATATATACTTTTAGAAATCTTAGTATAGAAATAGGAAAAATAGTAGTATTTTATATTATTTAATATATTATTTATATAAGTTTAATAATTAAAGAATTTAGTATTATAATTAAATATAATTTAGTTATTATAGTTTATTAGGCTATTAGGACTATTAGTAGTCTAAAATTAGGATATTATAAGCTTTATATATATCTATTTAGTATATTATAGTATAGATATAAAAGAAGTTATTATTAATAAGAGAATATATTTTAATTAAATCTTTACTATACTTTTATACTCTATATAAATTATACTATCTTTTATTTACTATATATAAAATAAAGCCTAGTAAAGTTTAACTTTTATTATAGTTAATTAATATTCTTTTAATTATAACCCTTTTATTAAACTATCCTTAAAATATCTTTTATAGATATTATATATACTATTTATTATACTTTTATTTATAATAATTATTAAAAGTATAATATTATATATATTTTCTATTAAAATAATATTAATATTTAAGAATATTAACTTTTAATTTATAAACCTAAAAGTATTATTATTAATTATATTTATAATAATTTTTAATTTTTAAATAAAAGATATTTTAAAAAATATATTTTATACTTTTATTAAATATCCTCATAGGAAATATTTAGGAAATATATAATATAATATATTTTATATTATATAATTAATAAGTTTTATTAGTTTAATAATAGTTTAATAAATTATTTTAATTAAATATATTAAAAGAATTATAAAGTAAAATATTAATTAAGTAATATTAAATTAAATTAGGTTAAAGTTTAGTTATATAAATAGGATAAAGTAGAATATAGTTATTATAAAGTAATATATTATTATAAAATATTTTACTTAAATATCTTTATATATTTTTAAAAGTTAAAGTTATTATATATAATAACTTTAATTAGGTTATTATAGATTTATTTAATAATTATTTATAGGTTAATTAATATAATATAGTTATAAAAGGAATAATAATTATATTAACTTACTTTTATAACTTTAAATATTTTCTTTTTTATTAATTAATTATATTATATAAATTATAAAGTTTAAAGTTATTAAGAGTATTAATAACTTTATAAAATATATAAGATAATTATAGATATTAATTAAGTATATTATAAAAACCTTTCTTTTAAAGTAAATATAATTTAATAATAAAAATAGTAATCATTTATATTTACTAATTATAAAAATAAATAACTTTTTTAAGTTAATAATTTTATTTATTTAATTTATAATAATAAAAAGACTTTTAAATAAATTAAATAAAATAAAGTATTTTAATTAAATATAACTTTATATTAATTAATCTTTAACTTTAACTATTATATAAATATTATATTTTAATTAACTTAATTAAATAATATAAAAGTAAATTATAATATTATTTATATTAAATACCTTTTATTAATAAGTATATATAATTTATATTAAAGGTTATATATATAGAAAACCTTTAAATTATTAGTAAGGTATATAAGTATACTTTATTACTTTTAAGTAGTTTAAATAGTAAATATTAAAATAAAGTTTTTAATATTTAACTTACTAATTTAAATATATTTTAATAAATATTATTACTTTTTTATAAGTAGGTAATATATATATACTTTAAAATTAATTAATAAATAAAAAGTTAAAATAAATATATTATTATATTTAATTATATTATATATATTTTATTTAATTTAATATATTTATATAAAATATTAAATTATTTAATATTTAATATTTTTATTTAATAAAAGGTTTATTTAAATTAAACTTACTATTTAATAATTTATTTTTATTTTTATATTAATATAAATTAATTTTTTAAAAAAGGTATTTAAAATATAAAAGTATAGTTTAAATATATTTTTCTTAAATTAAAAATTATTTAATAATAAGTTATTTAACTAATTATTAAATAGTATATTATTTTTAAGTATTATTAAGGAAGTTTATTAAAAATTAATTTTAATATAGTATTTAAAAGTTATTAAGTTATTTTTAAATTATATAAATAAAGATAATAGTTTTAAAATAAAAAAGAACTTTAATAAAAGGAATTATATAAATTAAGGAGAGTAATAATATAAATATATTATATAGGTATAATAATATAGGTATATTAAATAATAATTAAAGTAATTTTAATAGTTATAAATTATAAATATATATTTTATAATTAAATTTTTAATAATAAATATATTAAATTTAAAAGTTAAGTTAAATATAATATAGTAAATATTATTTTAAAGTTTATAATATTTAAAGTATTTTTTTATATATTAATATATAAAATTATTTTTTAATTATTACTTTTATTTATAATTTAATACTATTTAAATTTAAATTTATAAATAATAATCCTTTTTATCCCCTTTATATAATTATAATAGTTAATAAAATCTTTAAGTTATATTATATTTATAATAGATAGGATTATAATGGAGAATAGTATAGGGACCTTAGTATAAGTTAGGGGGGGTATTTCGAAGCGACTTAGTATGGAATTTAGGATTTAGGAGGCACCAAAGAGTCTGAGTTCGCTGAGTCTATCAGGCACCTGGGTACCTAAATACTTAAGTAGCCCAGCCCCAAGACCCAGCATACCAGACTCCGACTCGCTGCCCACACGATGGGGCAGCTACCTGCTGAAGTGCCTACCTAGGTACCTAGGTAGTTAGTTACCTGGGTAGCTGTTGAACCTCGGTGCACAAGTACTTAAGTAGTTTTAATTTCCTGTCGACATGGTTTCCCCGCAGCTGTGAAGGAATCGGTGCACACAACTGGTCGACCCCGGAAATAGTGCAGACAAGTATATGTCGCTATGTCGTAGTCATTCGCAACGAACTATTGTTCGGTTGCTCATCTGAGACCAAGAGAGGGGTGGGCCAAGCATGGGGCTTGCGTGTACAAGAGAGAGAAGGGGACCACCCGCGGACGCACTCCAACCGACCCCAACCAAGGTGACGAGTGCACGTCGTATCGTCCTGGCTTGGACAAGAGACATTCAGTCAGACTCATGTAGCAACGGCGGGGAGGGTTACAAGTCGCTGAAACCATCATCCCCCACCCCACAGTCCTTTCTTTATATACTTCGTCCAGCTGTCCAACCATGCACACTCGCGAGGTCCTCGCCACCGCGTAGAATTTACCTCAATCGTGAATGGTTGACTCGCACACAATGAATCTAGTTATTGAAGGCGCCCTGCCGCCAACCGTTGAGACGCGTAGGCCGCGCAGAGTAGCTGGGGACAGACACAAGCACTCAAAGCCGCAACATGTCCAAGTGCAGGATGTAGACCTTAAATGTATTCCAGAAAATAAATATGAAGGTTACAGCAGACACGGACGAGCCGGACGAGCCGACCGTTCCGCCTTGCCCTCGTTTGCAACCCCCAACAAAATTAAAACAGTAAGCAATGCTCGCTCGCCGTTGCCCTTTCCCGTCTCCTCCAATGTGCCGATCGCCAGCCTCCCACCTATGCGATTATCTCAAAATCGGAACGGGTTTGGAAATGCTGCAAGGAAGGCCCTTGGCACTGAGTGGACCACACGCATCTCATCCAAGCCTTCCTTCCCCGTTTGCCCGTCTCCTTCAACGCATTCTCGATCCCGGATCATACCAGGCCGCGCCCAGCACCCCTGCCTCGGTAGAGTGCTGCCAACCCCATCCGCCTCGAACAGCAGATTGGCCCCTGCCAACTCCTCAGGATGTCTCCATTGCCCGGGGTATCCATCCTTAAACGCCGTCGCATGTATGCAGTACAAGACGAGAGAAGTCGTAATGTTCGTAATTCGTCATCCAGATGTTGCTCCCACACCGTGTGGGCCAGCATAGGCGGACGGCGCCATTTGACGACCGCGACAACATCGGCGGAGGTCGCTGCCTCAGAGCGCTCCAGAAATCTTTCTCGCAGTATTCGCCGCAGCAGTGGTCGGGCTATGGTTGTGGATACTTCCGACTCGGCCGCTCGTCTTGCGCACGCCTGCCGGCTCCTTGCCGTTGGGGTAGCCTCGAAGACTGTCACCGGTCCTTTTGCCGCCGCCGCCACCGCGGACCTTGGTCAGGACGCCCGACGCGGAAGTAGCGCGCATAGGTGAGGTCTGGGCTGATTTGACCCGGCCGAGTGAACTGCCGATGTTCTCGACGTCGTTGGAAGCGTCGTCAATGACAGAGGTATAGATGGAGGTTGTCGTTGTCGTGTGGCTAACAGACCGCGACTTGGCAGAATTTGGGGAATTGGACACCTTCCGTGATGCTCGCATGCGCAGGTGCAGCTCCTCATCGGACTCGGCCGGCGAATGCCGCTGGACAGAGACCACCTCAGTCTGTTGCTGGATGCTGCCATTCTCCTCTTCGATCGAGGATCGGTACACGCCACCACGGCTACTGTACGGGTGGTGGCGAGTCTTTCGGGGCTGTCCCGGGGTGGGTGCGGGCAGGTAGTTTTCTTGGTCCGCTGGGGCGTTCGCCCTCTCGTTGTCCACCTCGCCCAGCGGTGTTCTATTCGAAGGGCTGCGGTTGGGGGGCGTTGAGGTCTTGCTGGGGCTGCGGCCGATGTTGGCCTTTTGCATGGCACGGATAGGCGTGCTTGGCTGGGGGTTGGCGGCGGCCATCTCCTTGCGCAGCTTCCTTTCGATGCGCTCCTCGACCCACCACTCCCGGAAGGCACCCTGGTTGAGATGGAGCCAGTGTTGTTGCGGACCAACAACCATTCCAGGTCGCATGAATCGCATGTATGCAATGACCTCGTTGGCGGTGAAGCCGTACCTGTAGATGAGGTAGGCTCCTATGAGGCATCCTGTCCGCCCAAGCCCTGCCTTGCAGTGGACAGCAATGCCCCTCTTCCTGACGGTGATCATCTCATGGGCCAGTCTAATAAACTTGCGCACGGTGCCCATTGCTGGGCAGGTACCGTCCTCGAATATCATATCGAGGTGCTGGATACCCAAACCCTCAAAGTAGGATGGGGAGTACAATGCCGAGTTCAGTCGAACCACCAGGCCAATGTTGCGCTCTGAAAAGTGGGACAGCACGTTCTTGAATGGCTGCGGCAGTGTTGGGTGCGCATCGATGGCGTCCAGGGTCTTGGGAACAGTTGCCCAGAGCTCAGAGTTCTCGGGGATCTTTGCAACAGGCTCGTGCTGTGGCGAGGCAAAGGCCAGGAAACTGGGGGTGATCCAGTTGAAGTCGCCGTGCTCGACACGTTCGAACCTCTCATACTCGTCCAGGTCAAAGTCCTCGAGGGCACACACGCCCTCCTCCTTTGCCTTCCACACCCCGTAGACGACATCCTGAACAGTGATGCCGTAGTCGGCCTGGCTATAACCAGCATCACGAAAGGGCATCAACGGGGGGTCGACCTGGGCGATGGGTGCCAGGGCCAGGTGTGGTGGCCAGGACTGGATCAGGACCATGTAGCAAGCTAGCAAGGCAGAGGCATTGGCGCGGCCTGGGGAGACGATTAGCATGGAAGAGGGCAGATGAGGCGCGGGGGCGCGGGGGCGCGGAATTTACGTACTCCTCGGGTCGGCTCTGCTCCAGAAGACGACCGGGCGATCCTTGTTCTCCTTTGCACCTAGGATCTCGTGGAACTGGAGGGCAAACCTGTAAAGATGGCCAATGTGCAGCGGGCCAAAGTCATGGTGGAAGTTGTTGTAGAGCAGAGTATCATCGACGGTGAAATAGTAGGGCTGCTTGTAAGGAGACTTGGGGACTGCCTGGGGCCCGTTGGCAGCCCTCTGGGACCGCTTGGTAGGCGACTTTACCGGCCCGTCTGGGTAAGGAAAGAGAGTGTCCTCATTTGGCGGGTGGACATACGAGGCGAGATACAGGCGGTCTTGGGAGAAGGTCAGCAAGCTTACTGGAAAAGGCTGGAGCAGGTAGTCGAGCGCAAGTGCGGGAATCGGGGCGGCCGGGCCATCATTGACAGCATTTAGAGAGGGGGGAGCACCCATCATAACCCGATGGACGGTATCGCATGTATCTCAACCGAATAATGTAGTTGAAGGGTTGGGGCTGATGGGGCTGCAGCTCACGTACCTGGGATGTACTCGATGATCTGGCCGAGGTTGGAGCTCTTGGAAGGAGCCATGGCCGTCAGCGCCGCTTGTGGCTTGGCGGTTGGGGGTTGGGGACGCGGTGCCGCGGTGCCGTGGTGTTGACACGATGTGCAGGTGCGCAACGTGCAAGCGGAGGAGCGGTGCAGGGAGCTCCCAAGAGAGACTGCAGAGGCTGGTGGTGTGCAGTGTGTGGCTCAATTGGTCCGAGGTTGATGTTCTCTGAACCGAGCGAGCACCTGGCAAGCACCTGGTCTGGTCGTCAATGTCGATATCCAGGCCCCCCCAAGGTGAGGCTCGGAACGTCGAGGTGAGAGGAGGCGGAGAGGGGTGGTGAGGGACGGGAGCGGAGGCGACGGGATCTACGAGGCAAAGCCAGCAGCGACAAGAAAGAGTCACCGGGTTGCAGGCTGGGTGAGGGAGGGTTGGGAAAGGGATCCGGGTGCAGTTGGGATTTGGATTCCAAAATTGATGCTTTGAGGAGGGTGGGGGGGAATCAGCGTTGATCAGGATCAAGCCGGGCAACGACGTAAATATGAGTTTTCCCAGCGGTGTGTGCAGGTGGCAGAGAGACGGGAGTGCATGTTGTCATGCCCGGGAGTTTGTTGCACGATAATACAGTAGAGAGAGCTGGTTTGTTATTGCCCGGCCATGGGGGCCGCCCCGTCGCCTCGACCCCCAGGCCAATGGCAGCCCCGGTCGTGCTGGGGAGCTGGTCCGGGGCCCTTTTTTGGGCGGTCGCTTGCTGTCGTCCAAGCAACCAACCACCTCGGTCTGCAGGTCTGCAGGTCTGCGGCGTCCAGGCCAGGCCCGTTTTCCAAGCCACCGGGACCCGCCCAGCTGAGTCCCAATGCCTGAGCATGAGCCTCCTTCCAAGCTTCGCCAGGCCCCACCTCATCCTCTGCCGCTGCATGTGTGTGTGTGACTCGGTGCCTGTTTATCTTATCGTTGTCTCAAATCCTGCACCCGTAACCCAGCATCGGCACAGCATATGCATCAGGGCAGCTCTTCAAACCACTCCCAGCCACCCCGGCCTGAGCTCCCCCCGCCCACAGATCGATCGCCCGGGCGGCACACACACACACACACACACACAGAGAGAGAGAAAAAGAGAGAGGGAGGGAGAGAGAGAAAGAAGGTCGTTCCAGAACTGATCAGTCTCCCTGCTCTGGCTGTCCCCGCACAATATGGCCACTCACGCCGACCCTGAATTCCCCTGCTCGCTGTAAGTCAGCATGACCTCTCCCTATTCTGCTGTCACACCGGGGACTCCTTCGCTGAGATTTGCCTGTCTCGCCTGTGTGCCGGCAGCCAGATCGACGTGCCCTTCCCGACCGCCCGTCTGGCCTCAATCGCAATCAAGGCCGTGGCCGTCGACCGGGAGCTGTCGCCCCTGGTCCGCCGAGAGTTTTCTACCATCAGCCTCGCGTCCGCGTCCGCGTCCGCGTCCGCGTCTGGCGGTGCTGGCCGCGTTAATGGTGGAGGTGGTGATGATGTCACGGGACAAAACGTCATGAGGGTGCTTTACGAGGCCACCACTAACCGCATGCTGCGGGTATCGGTCAACTCTTTCATGGACAGCCTGTCGCTCGTCCTGGAGGTCATGGAGAGGCTCGATGCCGATGTGCTCGAGTCCAGACCGATCCAACCGCAACCTGGGCCGTTCCGGTGATTCACCCCTCCCCACACAACCACGTCACGTCACATATCGTGGTTCCACCCCGGGGGGTGGATGGCCTTTGAGGAGCTGGGGTGCTGTCTAGAAGCCTTGTCTTGTATGTCTGAGTTTTCTGTATAGAGAAAAAAATAAATAAGAATAGGCCCCCCGTCAGGACCTTTTCCATTCCACCAGGCGCAGCAACGCGTATCCCTGTCACGCGAAGGAGTCGTGACGGTCAGGCTCCCAACACGCCCTGACGCCCCACCAGCCCTAGCAGGGCCCCCATGGAGCGCAGCCCAAATCAAGACTTTGTGACCGTCACCTTGCTCTTGTCTGATGCAGAGAGTCAGCCGGTCTCCAGAGCTCTTCCAACACCTGACACGGGCTGGCAGGCTGTTCATGTTCCTCCCGACCCCGCCTCATCGCCTGCCACAGGGGACCATGATCCAGCCCGCACACGGAGAATCATTCCAGACTCACAGAAAGCCACGTGGTTCCGGATGTGCTCGGCCTTGTCCTTGGTCTGCGCATAGTACCAGGCCGCATTCTCCAGCTCCTTGCCGTCTGCATGGACGCTGTAATAGCTTGCATCGCCCTTCCAGGGGCAGTGGGTCGAGTGGTCAGTCTTGGACAAGTGGTCGGTTTTGACGGATCCCGGTGGGAAGTACACGTTCCCTTCCACCTCCTCCCACGTATCTGTTTCTGCGAGCACGGTGTCTCCGACAGTGGCTTTGGCGTGACCGGTCGGCATGGCGGTGATTACAGCTCGGTCAACAATTCTACGACTGTGTGTCGGTGCTTGCGAGACGCGGTCTGGTCATGAAGCGTCGGAACTGGCTGGAACTGGCTTGTCAGGATTGACAAGAATGCTTTTCCCACCCGGCTTGTACATGTGATGGCAGCTTGATTGCGGGGTAGGTGTTGGGGTCTCAAGCTTGGTGCCTACTTAAGTAGATACCTGGGTATCTAGGTACCCAGATACTCACCTGCTTACTACTAGTAGGTAGATCTTGGGTTACTAAATAGCGTGCCGAATGGGAGCTCCCATCAATGGTAATATGTCGCAGATACTAAGTACTTAAGTACCTACCTACCTAGGTACCCAGGTGCTTCGGGTATTCGCCCTTTCTAGGGTGTTGGTCAGATCACGGCTTGGGAGTGGCCCACGAAAGACCAAAGCCCTACGGGAAACGAGCGTCATCAAACCCGCCCTATCCCGACGTGTGATGCGCATGTTGATTGAGCGCTGCCCGTATCTACACATGCTGTCCTGCACGGGCAGATAAAAATGGCACTGCCATCAATCTGGTCGTCAATCGCCTTGCCGTGTCTAGAATGCTTGAGTGGAGAGTTGTGTAGAGGCACTGCGCGTACGTATCGCACTTGCTCACTCAAACTAATCCACTCACTCACCCACACCAGCACCGCCAAAGCATGTCTCCACGAAATTCGCCAGGCTGGGCATCTGGTCCTGCACCTTCAGGAACGTCTCTAGCTCGCACCAGCCGTCCACTCTGCTCGGGTCGCACTCGGGGAAGCTCCACCCTAGCGGCACCGTCCGCTGGTTGAGTACGAAATGGATGTACTTGGTCTCGCCCGCCCCTCCGCCCTGGACATAGCCAGTCCTGTCCGCGCTGACAGGCCCTGGCGCCTTAATGACCTCAATGTCCAGTCTGGCGCCGAACGGTGTCAGATGCGACACGGTGAAGTTGTGTTGGCCCGGGTATGCCTTGGGCGAGAGTGGCGGGTCATCCTGAAACTGCGTCAAGCCCATCGCAGCTAGAACCGAGATGATGTTTGTGTCATGACTGAAGTCCAGGTAGAGAGACTGGTTCAACGGGAACGTCTCTGTGCTGCCGTCGAGGGTCGTATTAATCTGTGAGCCCGAATAGCCCAATGTATGGTTTCGCAGCCTCGCCATCACTTCTTGCTGGTAACCGATTCCGACGGCACGCTGCGTGGAATCGAGTCAATCTCTTGCGCTTTCTACAGGCATTCCGCGAGGGGACTTACCCCAGTCTTTGACTGGAATCCGCTGTCTCCCGAGAAGAAAAGGTCTGTTTTCGATGGTCAGCTAACAGAGCAGCCCGGGACCGGAACACAGGCACCCGAGTCTGCGGCTGCTTTGAGGCACGTACCGACTGAGTAGCTGAAATGTATCCACTCTTCATAGGTGAAGAGATCACAAAAACGACTGAAGCCATAGGCAACCTACGGAGCGTTGTGTCAGTGTCAACAGTGGAATGCCCATCGCCGTGGGGCCTGGAGCCCCGTATAGTGAGGCTCAAGCGCACTTACCGTTTCGTACGGACACATGTTCTGCGCCGCATAGGTGTCCTCAATCGTCCAGTCGTACCCTTGGATCATGCTGCTGAGTCGAGCAGTTGCTTTCAGGAGTCAGCCTCATATAAGCGCCTTCGAGCTACGGATGGGAGTGATTCCTACCCTTTTGTAGGTATAGCTGCACCCACTCAGCCGTGGCGTTCCTCCCGCCGTGGTCTTTCTCGGCATTAGGGCAGTTCTTGTAGCCCGCCAGTGAGTTATTGAACCCTTTCTCCTCGATGATAACCTCGATGGTGGCGTTCCTCGTCCACTCGAGCCCGAAAAAGCCGGCCACGAAGTACTCTGCCGACTTGAGCATCCTGTCCTGGGTGGTAGTCCGCACGATAATCCTGCTGTTGGGGTTGTACAGCGACGAGTACATGTATGAGTGCAAGATACCTGAGTCGAAAAGCTCCTGCCTGCCTTTTGGGACAAGGATCTCCGCGCCGAGGGCATAGGTCCAGTCGTTGAGGAACTCGAGCGGGCCGGAGGCCTTGAAGCCGGAGCCTGCACTCCTTGCTGCCGCTATGCGCTCGCCAAAGGTGACGACGTTGGAGCCTGTACCACCAGTCGGGTAACGTGAACCATGGCGCGACAGCATCTGGACCTGGACGATTTCAGCGCCTGGCGGCAGGGGATACTCTCGAACGCCGAAGCCGGGGGACGGGGTGTAGGGTGATAAGAAGCCCATCATCTGGAAGATGCTCTCGTTCTTGGACGACATGCCCTCGATGGGAACGGCTGTCTGCAGCGGCTGGTTCGGAACATAGGTTGCCGTGGGGTTGAGCGTCCAGGTCTGAGCCAGGAATGCCGGCGCGCCGGTCGCAGTCGGGCCAGCCCATAGCTCCGGCGAGGTCTGAAAGTACTGGGGAACCTTTGGGGCGGGTTCGCAGCCACAGTCCGGGTCAGGGCGGGGGCGGAAGCCCAAGACTCCCGGGTTGATCACAAGGTTGAGTGCCACGAGAACCAACAGGCAGGAGATGATGGTGATGAGAACAGCCCGGAGGTTGACGTTGCGCAAGCTGCCGGGAGGCTGAGGTCGGTAAGCCGGAGGCTGGTCCTGGGGCGTCTCGGGCCCGGCCTCGGCGTAGTCTTCCCGGCCCTGTACAAGCTGGTAGCCCTGTGCCTCCTTGGGCTTTGGCTTCAGGCTTAGAGGTGCAGGCCGCATCTTCAACGTAGCGGGGTGGATGGGCCGGCCAGAATGCTGTGAGTTCCAGAGGTTTCTCACACGCAGCCCGCACCTGTCGTCGAGGCGGGCACGTGTCACGGCCCACGCAGTGCTCCCGGACGCACGGACCGTCTGTTGCTATATTTACATTTGTGCTTGACCCTCTGTTGGTCCCCACTTGAGCATCGGCACTGCGCGTGGGAGCCTGTTGTAGGATTTCAATGTTTCGCCTGCCTGCTTGTTAGGATCTCCGGGAATTGCTGAGGCTAGTCTTTCGATAGTCCACGCTGTGGAGTAGAGTTTGAGCCTTGTCACCAGTTATTTAGGTAACGATTATGGGGTCCACGTGTGTCTTAGGAGCCGATGATGTCCGTGGCAGTGGTCCGTGGCAGTTCAGATAACTTTCCAAGGTCGTGATTATACAGGTACTGTCTAGTGTTGTTTGTACCTTTGTGAATAGTGGATAAATCGGAAGCCTCAATCCAGCAATTGCTTGTTATCCAGCCGTTCCCTGCTCCGTACATGCTGACTGAGATGTACAGACCCCTACCCTTAAGGATAAACCTTATCAGCACTTAAAGTAAGAATTAATATATATCTCTATCTCTACTTTAATATAATATATCTATTAATATTAATCTTTAATATATTTTTAAAAGTTAATATATAAATATAATAATAATATAATAATATAAATTATATTTTAAATTATAAAAAAAATTATAATTTTATATTTTTTAATAAAAAAATAAAAGTTTATAATTATATAATTATATAATAATAAAATTAAATTTAAATAAAATTAAATTTAAATATATTATATTATATATATTAAATAAATATAAAAATTATATTTTTATATTTTTAAAAAATAAAATTTAAATATAATATAATTTTTATATTTTATAATAAATATTTAACTTTTTTATATATAATAAACTTTATTATAATATTTATTAAATATTATAATTTATTATATAAAACTTATATATTTTTATATTTTATATTTTATATTTTAATTTAATTAATATTTTATATTTTTATATTTTTATATTTATTATATATTTTATATAATTATTTTATTAAATTAATTATAATATTTTAAAATTAATTATAAATTATTATTATTATTAAATATAAAATAAATTAAATATTAATATAAATAAAAGATATTTATTTATATAAAAGTTTTAAAAATATTAAAATATTTTATATTTATATTTATATTATATTAATTAATTTAATTTATATATAAAAATTATATTTAAATAATATATATTAGTTTTAATTAAAATATATTAAATTAAATAATAAAATTTTAAATTAAATAAATTAAATTATATTAATTAAATTAATTAATTTTATTTATAAAAATTTATTTTAATATTTTTAATATTTTTATATTTTTATATTTTTATATTTTTATATTTTTATATTTTTATATTTTTATATTTTTATATTTTTATATTTTTATATTTTTATATTTTTATATTTTTATATTTTATATTTTTATATTTTATATTTTTATATTTTTATATTTATTTTATTTTATATTTTTAATTAATTATTATTTAATTATTTTATTATATTATAATTTAATTTAATTATTTTAAAATTTTAAAATATTTTTATTTTTATTTTTATAAATATTAAAATTAAAATTTTAAATTTAAATATAAAACTTTTATAAATTTTAATATATTTTAAATTAAATTTATATTTATTTTATTTTAAAAAATAAAACTTTATTTTATATAAATTATTTATATTTTTAATTTTATTATTAAATTAAAAATAAAATATTAAATATTTTTAATATTAATATATTAAATTATATTAATTTAAATTAATATTATTAATAAATTTAAAATTAAAATTATTATAAATTATAAATTAATTTAATATTAATAAATATAATAAAAATAAAATATTAATTAATAAAATAAATAAAAATAAATAAAAATAAATAAAAATAAATAAAAATAAATAAAATAAATAAAATAAATAAAAATAAATAAAATAAATAAAATAAATAAAAATAAATAAAAATAAATAAAATAAATAAAAATAAATAAAAATAAATAAAAATAAATAAAAATAAATAAAAATAAATAAAAATAAAATATTATTTATTTAATTAAAATTTTAATTTTATTTTATAAATAAATATTTATATAAAAGATTTTAAAAATATAAATAAATTAATTAAAATTTAATTTAATTATTAATTTAATTAATAAATTTTTAAAATTTAAAATTAAAACTTTTATTTTAATTTATTTATAGTTAATTAATTAATTTAATATATTTATTTTAAATTTAATTATTTACTTTTATTTATTTATTATAAATAATAATTATAAATAATAATTATAAAAATAATTATAAATAATAATTATAAATAATAATTATAAATAATAATTATAAATAATAATTATAAATAATAATTATAAATAATAATTATAAATAATAATTATAAATAATATTTTAATTTAATAAAATGTTTTATTATAAATATTTAAATAATATTATTTTATTAAAATTAATTATTTATAAAAATTATTATTATTAATTTTATAAATATTTTTATAATTATTTAAATTAAATATTTATAAGTAATTATTAATTTATTTATAATTATTTATTAATTTATTAAAAATATATTTATTTAAAACTTTTTTAATTAATTATTATATTTATTTAAAAATATAAAATTATAATTATTAAATTAAAATAAATATTTTTATTTATTTAATTTTTTATAATAATAATATATAAAATTTTAATTATTTTAATTAATAACTTTTAATAATAAAAATAATTTAATAAATAATATATTTAAGTTTTTAATAATAAATTAATATTTTTAAATAATATAATTAAGTTTTAAATAAATTAATTAAGTTTTAAAAATAATTATAATATTTTTAAAAATAAATTAATAAATATATTTTAATTAAAATTATTTTTATATAACTTTTAATTTTTATTATTAAATTATAATAATATTAATAATTATAAGTTTTATTAAATAATATTTTAAATTTATAAAAATATAATATAATTTATTTATTATAATTTATTTTATTTAATTATATATATTTAAATATATATAATATTATTATTTATTAAGTTAATTATTAATATTATTAATATTTTATTTTTTTATTTTTAAATATTAATAATAAAAATATTTTTATATATTTATTAAAATTTTTTAAACTTATTAAATTTTTAAATTTATTAATTAAATTAAACTTAATATTAATTAAATAATTTATATAATAAATAAACTTTATATTAATTAAATAATAAAGTTTTATATTAATTAAATAATAAATATATTAATTTTATATATTTATAATAATTTTAAAATATATTATTTATATATTTAAAAAAATATATAAAATAAAATATTAAAATAATAATAATAAAAATAATTATTAAAATAATTAATTAAATTATTAATTAAATAATTAATTAGTTTATTAAAATAATAATTAAAATAATTATTAAATTAATTTTATTAAATTAATTATTAAAATAATTAAATAAATAATTATTTAAATAATATAAAAGTAATAATTTTATAACTTTAATTATTTAAATAATAATAATTTATATAAATTAATAAATAATTAATAACTATTTATTAATTAATAAAAGTTATATAAAAATAATTAATAATTTAATTAATTTTATTTATTAAAAATTAAAATTTAAATAATTTAAATAATTTATAAAAATATTAATTTAAAATATTTTTAAAGTATTTAAATTAATTAAATTATAATTATATATTTAATAATAATTTTAAATAAAGTTTTAATTTAATTAAAACTATTTTATTAATAAATAAAGTTTTTAATTAAATAAAATTATAATAAAAATATTATTTTAATAACTTAATATTTATAAAAGTCTTTTAAAAATATAAATAAATTAATTAAATTTAATTTAATTATTAATTTAATTAATAAATTTTTAAACTTAAAGTTAAAATTTTTATTTTAATTTATTTATAATTAATTAATTAACTTAATATATTTTTTAAACTTAATTACTTACTTTTATTTATTTATTATACTTTATAAAATAAAATTATTTTAAAATAACTTTTAATTATATTAAAATATAATTTTAAATAAATTAATTATATTTTATTATTATATATAATATTTAAATTTATAATTTTAATAATTAATATAATTTAAAAATTATAATTAATAATTTAAAAATAATTATTAATAATTAAAATAATAATTATTAATAATTAAAATAATAATTATTAATAATTAAAATAATATTTATTAATAATTATATTTATAATTATATAAAAATAAATTTTAATTTTTAAAATATTATTATTATTTAAAATAATTAATATACTTTAAAAATATTAAAATAATATATAATATATTTTAAAATTAACTTAATTAAATTTATTATATAAAACTTTTATAATAATTTTAAAATTATTAAAAGTATTTTTATATTAATATATTAAACTATATTTAATTTATTTAAATTAATATTATTAATTTAATAAAAGTTAAAGTTATTATAAATTATAAACTAATTTTAATATTATTAAATATTATATATAATATTATTATATAATTTAAACTTTTAAATTAATTAAAATAAATAAAAATAAAATTATTATTTCTTTAATTAAAGTTTTAATTTTATTTAAATAAATATTTATTAAATAAAATTATTTAAAATAATTACTTAACTTATTATATTATTAAATTAAAAATAATTAAATAAAATAATTATATTTTATTATTATATATAATATTTAAATTTATAATTTTAATAACTTTATTATAAATAAAAAAATAATTATTAATAATTAAATTTATAATTATATAAAAATAAATTTTTATTTTAAAAAGATTATTAATATTTAAAATAGTTAATATATTTTAAAAGAAATTAAAAATTATAAATTTAATTTAAAGTATATTAAAATTTATAAAAATTTTAAATTAAAATTAAAAATATAAAGTTTTAATTTTTAAAAATATTATTATTATTTAAAATAATTAATATACTTTAAAAATATTAAAATAATATATAATATATTTTAAAAATTAACTTAATTAAATTTATTATATAAAACTTTTATAATAATTTTAAAATTATTAAAAGTATTTTTATATTAATATATTAAACTATATTTAATTTATTTAAATTAATATTATTAATTTAATAAAAGTTAAAGTTATTATAAATTATAAACTAATTTTAATATTATTAAATATTATATATAATATTATTATATAATTTAAACTTTTAAATTAATTAAAATAAATAAAAATAAAATTATTATTTCTTTAATTAAAGTTTTAATTTTATTTAAATAAATATTTATTAAATAAAATTATTTAAAATAATTACTTAACTTATTATATTATTAAATTAAAAATAATTAAATAAAATAATTATATTTTATTATTATATATAATATTTAAATTTATAATTTTAATAACTTTATTATAAATAAAAAAATAATTATTAATAATTAAATTTATAATTATATAAAAATAAATTTTTATTTTAAAAAGATTATTAATATTTAAAATAGTTAATATATTTTAAAAGAAATTAAAAATTATAAATTTAATTTAAAGTATATTAAAATTTATAAAAATTTTAAATTAAAATTAAAAATATAAAGTTTTAATTTTTAAAAATATTAAAATTAAAAAGTTTTAAAAAGTTTAAATAAAGTTAAAAATTAAATAAAATTATAATAATATAATATAATTAAATAAAAGTTAATTATAAAATTATAATTATAAGTTTTTAGTTTTATATTTAAAAGATTTTAAAATATATTATTAATATTTATTTATAAAATAACTTTTAAAATCTTTTATATATATTTAAAAATTATTAAAAATTAAATTATTATTAAAATTAATAATTAAACTTTAAAATATATATATAAATAATTTTTATATATTTATTTTAAAAATTAATTTAAAATTAAAAATCTTTTTTATAATTTATTAATATTAATATTAATTTTATTAAATTAATTTTATAATTTTTAACTTTATTTAAATTATATTAATTATTAAATAATAATATTTTTAAAAATAAAAATTTATTTTTATATAATTTAATAATATAATAAATTAAATAATTATCTTTTAATAATTTTAATAAAAATTTATTTATAAAATAAAATTATAATTTTAAAATAATAATATATTTATATTTATTTTTAAAATTAATTTAAAAGTTTAAATTTTATAATAAAATTAATATTTTTATATAAAAGTTTTTAATAATAAATTAAATAAATAATTTAAACTTTTAATATATTTTTAAAATTTAAAAATTATTTATTTAATTTTAATTTATTAAAAATATAAAATATTTAATTATAAATTTATTTTATTTTATATTTAAATATTATTTATAAATAATAATAAAATTAAATTATTTATAAAAATTAAAATTATATTTAAATAATATAAAAATAATAAAATTATAAAAATTTTAATATAATATAAAAACTTATTTAAATTAAAAATAATTTAAATTTAAATTTATTAATTAATTTTATAAATAATTAATTTATAATTTTAATAATATTTTTTTAATATTTATATATATATATATATAATATTATATTTAAATAATAAAATTTATTTATATAATTAAAATAAAAAAATAAATTAATAATAAATAAAAGTTATATATAAAATAAAAAATTATAATTATTAATAATATAAATATAATAGCTTTATAAGTTTTAAAAAAAATAGATTATACTATTAGCCTACTTTATAAGTTTTTTAGGCTATATTATAATATATTAAGGGCTATTTTAATGGCGGCGGGAGTTGAAACCGGCCTTGTTGTACATAGTATCTGGTGAAAGCTAATACCGACAAGATTAGCGATTACTGTAGAGATCAGGGCGCGGGAAGTTGAGTTTGGTTTTTGGGTCGTGAGGGCGGATGGGATAGCCGAGGGTCCCCACTCCGCAGTGGCCCAGGAGTGGGCCCAAGCCCGAATCCGGGTGACCCCCCTGAAGCGAGTGACAGAAAGGCATTGATAAATCTGACGACAGCTCATTGGACCCGGGGCGCGGCGGTCCTTATCTCTTGGCAAGGGCCCGCCTCTGCAATTAGCCCGAGAGCTTGTTTCGACCTGACCGGGGCCTGCTCCTCCCATATCTAGTGTATACGCTACTGTGGGCACCGACAGGAGGTTTCTTTATCCCTCCTATCCGGGGGCCTACTTGGAACGGCGAGGCACTACGAGGCACTCGAGGGTGAGCGGCAAAGCTGGGGTACATGAGGCAAGGTGCACTATGTAGATTACTTCCTGCTAAGCCCCGACCCGGGTCTGGAGGAGGGGGGGAGGAGGGAGGCCGGCAGGGCACCCCGACTGGGTTCAATGATCAGGCCATCCGCCCCGTCTTGGGTGCTTGAGATGAAGCCCAAGGGCAACCTTAAAAATAAAAACAGCGTGGGCAGCACGGTGGGAGACTCCGGCATGCCGCCCGGGGCCTCCCAGATGGTTTGCCAAGGCTCTTGGGACCTGGCTGTCTGGCTGTCTGGCTGTCTGGAACGGGGGCCAGGTCGAATCGGCATGGGTGGCTGAAGAGATTTACAATTTTGCGCTGCTGGGGAGATGCCGGGCATCGGAGATGAGACGCGGGCGAGGCTGCAACGCGGGTGCTGCATGAGTCCATGACTGATCTGTCTGACACTGGAGTTCTGCCTGACTTGATGCTCTGTCTGATACGTGGTGACGGGCTCGCGGCGGCGGATGACTTCGGGATGCTCTCGATCATCTCCATGGAGATACGAGGGCTGGACGAGATAGGATAAACATGTGGAGTGCCGACTGGGCACGGCCTCGAGTGAGCCTCATCGGACAAGTCTTGCTAACACCAAGGACAAATGGTTTGCTAACCGATTCAGCCCTGTCCCCAGTTTTGGGATCCGGGGCAGACCGAGACATCAGGGCTCAGGACGTCAGTCAGCACGGCAGGACGTCAATGGCTGGCCTGGACCCTTGAAAATGAGAGCTCTTGGTGCATGACAGCCTCTCCGGCCCCCCCCCCGGGTGCTGTTCCTGCAGGCCTGGCCGGGCAAGACGGGAGCGGTCTGACGGGTGAGGCCGGAGCCCAAACCACCTCTCTCGTTGATTATTAGCAGTCCTGATGATAAAGGGCCGTGATGCATACCGGTACACACAGTACGTACGATCCAGCCCTGGCAAGCCTGGCCGATGGGCATCCGATCTTTGCACTTTGGCCCACGCCTACTCCCACGCCCACGCCCACGCCCATGCCCATGCCCATGGCCATCCGCCCAGCCCGCCTTGCCCGATCCGGCACCACCACCCCCGGTCGCCGAGCCCCCACAGGCCCCTTGGTCTTGTCGATGCCGCCTGTTTTCTCTTGTTCTGAAAGGCCAGAAGCAGAGGTGCCGGTACCTGACACCTGCAGGGGCATGACCACAATGCCTGACTGCATGGAGCAAAGCCGTTTCCCAACCGCAATTCCATTTGTTACACTTATGACAGTGTCCCGTCGCGGGGGTTCGCCATCTGTCCCTGCGGAGTCCCCCTCTCCCATGTCGGCAGTGGGCAGCGCACCCGTGGCCCGCCACCACACCACCCATCAGTCAGACGCCGACCAGTCTGCCAAGTTGGTGAGGTGCCTGGACCGCCGACTAGTAGTACGGGACGGGAGGCGGGCGGGGGACAGGACTGCTCGAGCACGGCTGCTCGAGCACGGGTGCAGCGGGTCGAGGTCGTCGTGTCGCGGGTGGCCATCAACACGGCGTGGGGTACGGGGTGCTATGTACGATGTAGTTGTACTACCAGTGCTGTGCAGTGCGCAGTAGGGCTAGCGGCGGTCGAGGGGGCACAAAGGACTTACAGGGCAGACGGGCCCCGTCGCAAGCAGACTCGGAGGTCTGCACACAGAACCTTGTCTGAGCAGCGTCAACTGGTTCAAACCCACACCTACCGAGTACTAGTATGTGCTCTATCCCAGTAGCCTCTCGCACAACCCAATTCTGCGTCGCCCACGCCGACCCAGCCCGCCGGGGGTGACGGGGTACGTCGGTACCTAGGTACTTGAGTACACAGCACCACACCTAGACTGCACTACGACCGCAGTAGCTGGGGCTGCTTCACTGTGGACGCCCGAACCCCCCCCCCCCCCAGGAGGAGCCAGAAAAGAACCCGGGGGCTTTTCTTCCTATCGCCTTCCTGGATCAAGCCTCACGACCTGCACCCAGCATCGGGACCAGGGCCCCCTGTGCTGAGTCTCCCACGCATCACTCTTCTTCCCGGCCCACTGCAAATCCACAAGATCACCAAGAAACGCAGGCCTGGTCCAGCTTGTTAGCTTTCATATATTACTACTCTGCTTCCTCCTCCACCACCCGTGGCGTGCCCTGGTCTTTTGTCCTCTCCCTCCTGGCTCTGTCGAACCGCTCTCCGGACCCGCTCAGATATACCACAAAGCTAAAGGGGAAAGCGAACCTTGCCCGACACCTGTTTTCTAACCCAGGCACCGCCCTCACACCCGCCATCGCCCTCCCCTCCCCCGGGCCGACAATCCAGTCGCGAGAGACTGTCAGCTTCACCGCAGGCAAACCTCCCACTCACCCCCGGCACCATGTCGTACTCATGGATCGGGGCGCCGGCCGTCTTCAATGGCACCAACGAGGAGACCGGTGGTGATTCTGGTGTGTAGCGGACGAAACGCTCCCCCTCCCCCCCCCCCCAAAGAGGACTCGGCATTGCTGTCGCTGCCGCTGCCGTCGTTGTCCTTGTCGTTGATGGAGGTGGTCAAGTGTAGCTGACGGTCCCTCACATAGCCACCGAGAACCTGAACCAGTGGTACCAGTCCGGCGACCAGGCCTTCATCATCGTGGCCTCGTGCATGGTTTTGATCATGATGCCCGGCATTGCCTTTCTCTACTCCGGCCTCGCTCGAAGGAAATCCGCCCTCTCCATGATCTGGGTCGTCATGATGTCCTTCTCTGTAATCATTTTCCAGTGGTACTTCTGGGGCTACTCGCTCGCCTTCAGCTCTGTCGCCACCAACGGCTTTATCGGCGACCTACACCACTTCGGCCTCATGAACACCCTCGCCATGCCCTCGCCGGGCTCGCCCCTGATCCCCGAGCTCCTGTACTCCTTCTACCAGATGCAGTTTTGCGCCGTCACCGGCGCCCTCGTTGTCGGCGCCACCGCCGAGCGCGGCCGCGTCCTCCCAGCCATGGTCTTCACCTTCTTCTGGGCCACCCTCGTCTACTGCCCCATCGCCTGCTGGGTCTGGAACGTCAACGGCTGGGCCTTCAACTACGGCGTCCTTGACTACGCCGGCGGCGGCCCCGTCGAGATCGGTTCCGGCATGTCGGCCCTCGCCTACTCCTGGGTCCTCGGGCGTCGGAACGAGAAGATGATGCTCAACTTCCGCCCCCACAACATCTCCCTGATCCTGCTGGGCACCATCCTCCTCTGGTTCGGCTGGCTCGGCTTCAACGGGGGCTCCGCCTTTGGTGCCAACCTCCGCGCCACCATGGCCTGTTGGAACTCGTGTCTGACCGCCATGTTCGCCGCCATGACCTGGTGCCTCCTCGATTTCCGCCTGGCCAAGAAATGGTCCCTCGTCGGGTGGTGCTCGGGTACCATCTCCGGCCTCGTGGCCGCGACCCCAGCGTCTGGCTTCATCCCGCCGTGGGCGTCTGTCGTCCTCGGTGTGGTTACCGGTGTGTGCTGTAACTTTGGCACCAAGATCAAGTTCCTGGTCGGAATCGACGACTCCCTGGATGTTTTTGCCGAGCACGGCATCGGCGGTATCGTGGGTCTCATCTTCAACGCTCTCTTTGGCGCCGGATACATCATCGGCCTGGATGGTGTCAACACCGGCGTCATCACGGGCGGCTGGCTTGACCACAACTACAAGCAGCTGTACATCCAGATCGCGTACGTCGTGGCATGCTCAGGCTATGCCTTTGTAGTGTCCGCCATCATTGCCAAGATCATCGATCTCATCCCTGGGCTGAAGCTCCGGGCCAGCGAGGAGGCTGAGTTGCTGGGTATGGACGACGACCAGCACGGCGAGTTCGGTATGTGTTCCTCACGGGTCAAGAACCCCCTGGTGTTACCCTTCCTTCCCCTCATGGATAATCATGCTGACGCGGCCGTGCCAACAGCCTACGACTACGTCGAGGTCCGCCGAGACTTCCTGGCCTGGACACCTGCGCAACAGGAGCAACGTATTGATGGCGTCGGCCTGGTCCCTCAACACGGCATCGAGGAGCACCAAATGTTGGCGAACGGCACCGCCTCGGCCTCCAGGGGCAGCGAGGAGGCTGAGAAGCGGGCTGTCGGGTCGTCGGATCGATCCAACAACGAGCGGTCGATCAACGAGAGGTCCAACAACGACAGGCCGCAATAAAGGGCAGTTCGTGTGTTTGATTTTCGTTGTTCGGCTTTTTTTTTTTTTTTTAATAATACGTGATGATACTTGAGAGAAGATTGGTCATTCGGTTTGGAGCAGCGTGCCTAAGGATAGAGAACACCTGGGATGGATTTTACTTGGCATCGGGCGCGGTTGGGCTTTGTGTGTTCTCATCTTTGTTTTGCTTTTTCGGCGGACTCATCGAAGCAGGGGTTACAAAAGTTCGAGTGGGTGCTTGTGCTTTCAGGCTCGTGCCTTTCACCACTCGAGCAGGTGGACCATTCTCGGTCAACCATTGCCGAGGGTTTTTCACGGGGACAGCGCGGATTTTTGTCTAGGACGATTTCAATTATACCCATTTTGTCCCCCCACAACCGCTGGAGCGATGTCTGCACACACATCGACCCCGATATCCAGAGTGATGTATCCGTTGGCCAGGCTTTTGCAGAAACGACCTTGTCTTGAACTCGGGACACGGGCCAGTGCCGCACGAAGCGCTACTCCGTACACAGTACCAAGGAAGGCCAACTCCGAAACCACGATTGTCAGCGCAATGAAGCAGGTCGGTGGTAAAAATGGCCAAGAAGTGCATTGTGTAGTCGTTGCGCCCCTGTCTGAACCCCCCCGCCCCCCCCTCCAAACAAGATATCAGGAGCAACCACCACGCAAGTTGACCGGCCCATCCTGCCCGTCCGATTATATTGGACAATTACGGTATGCCAAGGAGGGAGGATGTCCTTATCTCGGGAGGACAACCCTGCAAAACAAAGCAGGGGAGGCGGTCGGCTGTCGCTAGTGCAGCCAATGCCTCGGGGGCGGGTCGGCAGCCTCTGGTTCTTGGCCGGGGGAGCTGGGGTCCTGGGAGCTGGGGGTCATGGGAGCTGGGGTCATGTCGGGCGCACACAAGCACAAGACGAGACAGACATGCAGCACCCCACCCCCCACAGCCTGGATCGGCTGCAGGAGATCGGCCAGACCGCCTGCAGGCCTGGGTGCCTGGGTGCCTGGGTGCGTGCATCTGAAATCCAGAGCGCCGGTACACGGTACTGCAGTCTCTTCTTGTCTTCAGCTAGGCAGCCTGGCAGCCTGGCAGCCTGGGGCGGCTAGGCCTGAGGGCTGGCTTCCTTATCTGCTCCGTACCGCTAGTCCGGCCTCAGCCTCTTCACTCGCGCCTGGGCGGCCAGAGATAAAGGTCAGAGCCACTCGTCACCCACCCGGGGCATTCTACACTATGAGCTGGACCCGATCTGCCATGGCGCGGCCAGCTTGATAAGTCGACGTCCAGATCATCGTGGGGACTGAGCTGTGGGGGTCCCGGCTTGGCAATCCTTGCCGGCAGCGGCTGGGCCCTCTCCAGGCCCACACTTGGATGGCCTGTTGTGCAAGGACAGCCTGACGTCGGTGTTGGAATAGCTGTTGCCCATTGTCAGCATGCGTTTTCCCAGCTCAAGTCTTCCACAACATGTCCACTTCCAGGTGGCGGGGATGGACTGGACAGCGCTCTGCTGCTTGCCCACCAGCTGCTTGCCCATCTGCAGGGCGGCGGCGTTGGAGCACGGCCTGCAATCATCCTTTCCGCGGCTCTCTCGACCAGGCCAGATACTTGAACGTCAGGTGGCCGTGCGTTGCACACAGCCCTGTCGTTGTCGCACTCAGCCTTGTCATTGTCTCACTCAGCCCTGTCGTGGCCTCTGGTGGGACGGTCATCGTCCACGGGCCGAAGGCTCGAGAATAATAGCTTTGGGCTCGACAGGGATTTGGCGCCGTGTTGTCACAAGTGTGGGTGGGGTCTTATCGCGATAAAGATCCCCTCCCATGCTGTCTGCCCAGAGGCGGGCCAGATGGGCCATCTCCTGCAACCTCGTCACAGTTGGTCTGTCTGTCTTCTCCATTCCGTACATTACGGCCTCTCGAGCCTGTCTGAGGGCGTCTTGTCCATCATCTTATAGGAGGCTGTCCCTCGCAAGGCCAATCGAGAGGTCACGCCGTGGTATTACAAAGGAGCCTGTCAAAGTGAAGGCCATCCCGTAGGAGGCCCTCCCATGGGAGGATACAAGGCTGTCGGACACCACAGGAGCATGTCTCGGATGAGCTGGCCATCCTCATCACCCGAAAAATAGCTGTTTTTATCCTTGGAAGAACTCAGCATGCCAGCTGCCAATGGCCAGCCAGGCGCGGGCAGGGGCTTCGTTCCAGGATATACGGTCAAGTATCGCGGCTCACAGAAGGCAGAGGATCGGTTCGGATTCGAGTGCCGGGAGGAGATCTCGGACATGCTCCGCGATCATGAGAATGTTCCGTATCCGCAAGGCTTCTCCGGCCAGTGGGACGACTTCCCTCGCGTTGCCAGAGCACGCATGAACCTGACGGCGCTTTCTCAGCACTATGACCTGTATCTTGTGGCATACAAGGGCTTCGTGCAAGTCTACCGCCTCGGTCGAGGTGTCAAGGTCGCGCTGGGGGAGCCCCTCGCGATACTTGACCCAAACATGAGCAAGACTGGAATGTCCACACACGTCGCCGGCGATATCAACCCCCGCTGCGCACACGAGATCAACCACATGGTCGTGGGGGGCCTGGGGGACCAGGAGGTGGTCGTTGTCAGCAGGGACAACGGCGATGTTCAAGCCTGGTACACAGCCACCGTTGCGGAACACATCCAGAGGGTCCAGTGTGCGAGGAGAGGCCGGGCCCAGGCCAGCGGCGGTGGACAACCGGCAGACAAGGTACCACGGCAGCCACACCTGAGGCACTTCTTCTCGGAAAACGTCGGCGCGTCAGCCTGGGGGCTGGCTGTCCACGAGAAATCCCGCTTGATAGCGGTTTCGTCAAACTGCCACGAGGTGACCGTGTTCGCGTTCGCACTGACCAGCCCCAGGGATGCGGTCAAGGTCGGCCATAGATGTGCTTCCAAGTGCGAAGGCCATATCAGACAAACCGAGACGACGGCCAACGAAGCGACACAACAAATCTGCATGCTTAAACAGAGGTTGCAGGCACGGCGGCGGACCTGGAGAATCGTGCTATCCTTTGGGGTAGAGGCGTGCAATATGCCAAGCATTGCATTCTGCGACGATGCCCATGGGAACGCCACCCGGGTTGCTGCCATTGACATAAACGGATATCTCTATGTTGCTGACATCTGGCAAGTTGCTCGGAAACCCATCAGGATACCCCCCCATAATGTGCAGCTCCCGAGCGGCAGGCGGTATAGACAGGTCCGCGGGTGGAACTTGCTAGCTGTCACTGATGCGCAGCTGCTGCCCACCAAAACGGTCCACGCAGCCCTGGGCCTACAACCACACAAGTGTGTCTACAGAGCCAAGACAACTCGTGGTGCTTGGCAGGACACATCGAGATGCATGTCAGAAGTCTGGTACGACGCCGCCTCAAGGCGGCATAAACATCGCATCGCCGCTTACGAGTTTAAGGATTACAGTGAGGACACCGACGGCATCTCCAGGGACACCTTTTCCCTGGTGGATTTCGAGGAACCAGCCACCATCACGCCGCCTCTGTCCGATGATATCTGGCATCCTGTGTACGGCCCCAACGACGGCATCCATCTCGACGAAGCCCACCATGTGGGTCTGGCCATGACGGTAGTGCCCTACTCGGGTGCTCACTTCGCCGAACCTGCCACGCCCGAATTGCTGGTTGAGTTTGCCGGGATCAGAGGCGCGGCAAGGCGAGCACACGGCCTCCATGTGCCCCTCAACATCGGTCAGTTCCGGCAGAACGCTCAGCAGTGGGGTGGCCAAGATCTGTTGCAGGATATCAGTTTTCTGCGATTCAACGAGGAGGACTTTGAGATGCTGTCCCTGGCCGAGACAGACACTGGTGTTGTGTGCCATCAGTAAGCGCCCGATGCCCATGCCTGGTTGTGCTCTGTCCCTCTTGGCATTTCAAGCGGGCACTAACAACTACAGTGTGCTGGACAACGTCAACATGAGCGGCGCTGAGGCTCCGTGGGACATGGCCTTTGGCAAGAGGTGTAGCATGCTCCTCACTATCCCGGAGCTTCATCTTGTGATTGTTGGCTCAATGTGTGGACGCGTCGCACTCGTCACGCTCACAAAGCCTCCACATGCGGACACACATGCGGACAGCGCAACCCCGAGGCGTGCCTTTCGTGTTGATGCCGTACTGCCTTTCCAGGACGAGGAGGAGACTTCTGAGCGCCCCTTTGTCTGTCTGTTGGGTATAGCGGTCTCGCCAATACCCGAGCCCCACTCGCAAGGTATCGAACTGCGGCGGCGCCAGCAGGTGCGGAAGGGACGCACGCGGTGGATTGAGCCGGATTCGCCGAAAAGATGGAGGCTGGTACTCAATTATCAAGACCACACGGTCATGCAGTATGATATCGTCAAACGGGATCAGGGAGAAACGGGCTCCTGGAACAACTTTGCCGGGTCGAGGGTGTACTCGCGCAGGATGCACAAGGCCAAGGGTGGCGACCCAGACGACGACTCGGACTCGTCAGTTTGAAGGGAAGGCTGCTTGGTAGGCCTCAACCCACCATAAATCACCTTCAGTATGACTGTAAAGCATACAACGCACGCAACAGAGCCTTGTAGCTTTCACCACTGTAATACTATATTGTCTTACAGGAGCTCATCCTACAAGAGTTTATTGTATAATAGGTCATTTTATAAGAGGTTCTGCCGTAGTAAGATGTTTCTCCGGGATGTGAGATATATACTAGAGGAGGTTGTGCCATAGGAGGATATCCCGTGAGAGGGACGTGCTATAGGGTCGTGTCCTATGGGAAGCTAGAACAGACACACTGTACACCTACGTAGCAGATACCCGAGCAATTCATAACAGATACACCAGCTACTCTCTAGTCTATCAATCCTCAAGATCTTTGCGGTACTGACCGGTAGATAGGGGGCAGCTTTTACGGTGTAGCCTGCCCAAGTAAAACGTGCCACAGTTGTCTATGATGGTTATTGTTGACTGCAATTTCCACCTTGTACAAATGTAGCCCTGGCAAGATAGACACCGGCCAAAGCTCCAGAGGACACCGGTGCATCCCTTCCACCCCCTTCCCCCCCGGATCCAACAGCTGCCCCGTAAAAGACCGGCCAATCATGAGCGTTTCTATGATTTGCTTTTGCGCCCTCTCCCATGGGATACGAGGTCTTATAAATAAATGCATTTGTGCCCCAAGTTACCAGCCGACTAAAAAACCCAACGCCTCGCGGAACAAAACAACTTGTTGATAGGATGACACCACTCGGAAAAGCTCAACTAGCCAACGTGTAGCCGTTGCAGCAAGCAATGTGCATGCCCTGCCTTGCCGTACCGGCTTGATCCGTCTCTCATGCCTGCGCCACGGCGACCGTGAAGCCCAGCGCGTCGCGGGCGCACTAGGCCCGCATGAGCTCTGACATGTCTCGCATCCGGTAGTCCAGCACCGGCGTCACCCAGTCATCCTCGACGAGCGAGTACGTCTCCTTCTTGTCGTCCTTTGGCTTGCGCGGGTTGATGGCCCAGTAGCCAAAGTCGGCATTGATCTCCTTGAGGTAGCGCAAGAGGTTGACCCAGTAGTTGGCGTCGCCCTGGCCGGGGTGCTGTGGCGCGCCGAACTCGCCGATCCAGACGGGGGCGATGTCGTCCTCGATAAGGTACGCCCAGTTCGCCTGCATGGCCCTGACAAAGGAAGGGTAGGCCCGCCTCGAGAACCGGCCTTCCATGCTGCCCCAGCCGGACCACGCGTACACGTGCGCGCTGTAGACCACCCTCTCCGGGACGTCGAGCCTGACGGGCCGCGAACGCGCCCCGGACAGGTCGTTGCCCGACTCGGTGCCGCCCACGATCATCAGCCAGTCCGGCTTCAGCCTCAGCAGCCTGTTTGCGGCCAGCTCGGCGGCGGTGGCCCACCTGTCCCACGACATGGTGCCCCAGACGCCGCGCACCTCGTTCCGCAGGTCGGCGCCGATGACGTAGGGGTCGTCGAGGAAGCGGGCCATGACGGCCTCCCAGTGTTGTATCCACTCCTCCTCGGTCTGCTTGACGCGGCACAGCGGGCCGAGGTGGTCGTTGGCCCAGCCGGCGTCGCAGGGGTCGGCGCCGCAGCACCAGGTGGCGTGTGTGATGTGGTTGTTGATGATGACGGCGATGCCCTCGTCGGTCAGGGCGCGCACGCAGGCCTCGAAGACGTCCATGGCGCGCAGGCCGACCAGGTCCGGGTTCGCGGTCAGCAGGTGGGGCAGGATGGGCGGGTTGCGGATGACCAGCTCGTCGGCGTAGGGCATCCGCACGCTGTTGAAGCCCAGCTTGCGTATCGTCTTTGCAATGACGGAGCGGTGCTGGACGTCGAGGCCGCCGGGGACGAACAGCTCGTCGGAGGCGCCGTACCAGTTGACGCTGGCCAGCTGGAAGCGGCGGCCATTGGCGTCCACAATGTCGCGGCCCCTGGTGCGCAGGGGCAGGGAGTAGGTGGTGATGCTCGTGTCGGGGGCGGGCGGCACAAGGGGCTGCTGGGCAAAGAGGCGGGCGCCGGGGTCGGGTATCCAGGGCTCGTTGGAGGACGCCTCTGCTCTCCAGAGGAAGTGGAAGAAGCCCCCGAGGAGGAGGACCGAGAGGAGGAGGAACATTCGGGAGGGTTTGGCTTCGAACCACGCTGCTGACCTCATCGAGCTGGATCGGCCGGGTGAGCGGGCTGTGGGTGGTCTTTTTGGTTCGGGACGGGGTCGGACGGGGTCGGACGGGGTCGGACGGGGTCGGACGGGATCTTCTCAAGGGGTGGGCGCATGTGCCATGTCTCTGTCTGTCCGAGGGCAGCGTATGGCGGCGGGAGCGGTGCTGGCCCTCGGCCTTATACTACTACTGGGCAGCACGGCTGGCCGCGGAGAGGGCGCATCTGCGCGCGGGTGAGGCGGAAGAGCAGTGCTCGTGATTTCATGCAACTGGGCCTGCAGGGGTGCTCGAATCCCGAGCAGGGGCTGCTCGACGGAAGGCTCGGTATGGAGATGACTGCCAACCACCGGCGTTGAGAAGGGCACGGAAAGCAGAGGCCAGGTCGGCAGGGTCGGCAGGGTCGGCTGGGACGGACACGAGTTACCTAATCATCTCGGACCTCCCCCCCCCTCCTTAGCTCGCTGCTGAGCTCAGACAGCCAATCCCTGCCTGCGAGCCCCGGCCCCAGCCCATCACTGCGGGTGGGCTCAACATGATCGGTGATCGGGGGAAAAAAAAATGTACAAGTAGTTCAAGTTGGGTATCCTTTTCTAGCGCTTCCTTCTCTCACAGCACGCTCCTCCATCCCTCTCTCCGCCTTACGTGCCCTCGGCCACTTCGGAGCCCGTGGAGCACGCGACCACCCCCAGGGAGGGGGATTGCTACCAGGATTGCTACCAGGATTGATCATCTGCCCGGCACCCCCGCGGTTGTGTCACAATCATTATACGGCAGCACATGGTTCTCTGCCGCCCCTCGCACATATTAATTGCCCGATGCCATCCTCAGATCTGTAGTCCCTTCAGGTCGTCCCTGCTTTGTTGCTCCTAAAAGCGTGACTTTGCTTAACTGATCTCAAGACAGGGACACTCGAGTGTAAGTTTTTGTGGGCGGGAAGGGGGGCGGGGGCGGCATGCCTCCCCCCCCCACACAGTTGCATCCGTTGCATCCTTTCAGTCCTCTGCCCAACATATGTTGTTGCCCGAATCGATGTCGCCATTAACAGATCCACGGCGGCGCCATCCCTCTGTTGCACTGTTACACAGCCGGGTAGAGGCAGATCTCCTTGTGAACCAGCTCATATTGGCGCCAGTAAAATAACTTGAACTTCGATCAAGCGAAATACCCCGTGGCCCGTCGACCAAACCTGCATGCACAGTGCTGAATGACGGTAACGGTGTGTGTGTGTGTGTGTGTGTGTGTGTGTCGTCGAGCTCGCGGGCAAGGCAACCAGGGTTGGGACAGGAATGGTAGAATGTTGCAGTTGCGGGAATGGCAGGCACGTGAGCGCATTGTTTGCGCTCTCGCCCACGCCCTCGCCCGGTCTCTTCTCTCATATCCTGTTCATCCCCAGGGGGTTCATGTCCTGCTGGCCGTAGCTTTGCTGCTGGTGGTGTTGCTGGTGTGCCGTTTGCGGTGGGCTCTGCGAGTACTGGCCCGTTGGCGGTGGGCTTCGCGAGTATTGTCTTGCTGCGGCCGCGTCCCAGCCAGCCTGCGAACCCTGGCCTTCTCGCGTGGGCGGCCTTGGGCTGGAGAAGGACCTCACAGGCGGCTGATACCGTGCCTGGGGTCCAAAATAATCCGGTGTCCGCCGGCCCGAGCTCATTTCGGGGCTGTCAATCGTGGGGCTCGCGGTCGAGGCGAGGTAACTTTTTATTGGAGGATAGATCGGACCCTCTCGAACTGTGTCCGGTGTTACCATTTCGTCCATGTAATTCTTCCCGGAGTCCCGGGATAGCATCTCGTACGAACGTGGGTCTGTATTCATCTTCAAGTCGTCCAGCCTTGCGTCAACTGACACAAACTCGCGCTTGGCGGCAGGGCGGCGGCCCAGGAGGTCCAGCCACGCGGTCACCATTGACCAGCGCCCAAGTAACATGAGCAGCCAGAAACCATTCATCTGCCCCGGTGTCAGCTTGTCTGTGGGTTTCAGGATGGAAGTGAGGGGCGGGTTTTCCTGCGGTGGACGTACAGCCAAGAGCATCAAGACGGCCCCAACGGTAGCCATGTCTACGGCTATAGTGCCGGCCTGGTCTAGGCACTTGTTCTTGTCCCCGTCGTTTATGGTGATGCAGGCAATCCAGGGCAGCGCAATCGAGGGGTCTCGCTTGACGGATTCGATCGTGTTGTCCTGGAACACAAAGACTACGGCGAAGAAGATGACGTCGGCAATGATGATCAGGACGATGGCAATCCCGCGCCATTGGAGCTGGATAACACGGCGGATCCGGCGGTATGCCTGGCGTGGCGTCATGGTGCGGATACTGTTGGAGTAGGAGGGCAGGCCTGCCGAGTTCTCGGTGGTAGCATTGTTGTCAGCCAGGGATGCGAGGTACACCTTGATGCAGTAGCCAAAAGTCGCGAACTGGATGATGATTGTGGCGCCGGCGAGGACAAGCAGGGGGATCCACAGATCTGCGAGGCTGTTCTGGTGGTTGATGTGGCAGGTGGCTCCGAACCGAAACGAGACGCCGCTCAGGGTCAGGGCCAGGATGATGCCGATGGCCGGGAGCCCCCATCCTGCAGCCTGCGAGAACCACATAAAGTTACGGCCGACCACGACCTGCCAGCAAATCTGGAGGTGAAGGGACAGCGCCCTAAGGAAGATCCAGAGCACAGCAGCCCAGCCCCCGATGATGAGGAATGTGCCCGAGGCGGCGCACACGGAGCTCGTCTGCATGTCGTTTGGCGTGATGGCGTCGTAGCACTGCTCGGGCCTTCCCGCCAGGGGGATGACGAAACCGAGGTTCATGGAGACCACGGCGACTGTCAGGCAGATGCTGAGATAGTGGCGGTGCGTCTTCTCGATGGGTAGGAAGGCCCAAGACAGGAGCAAGAACAAGCAGCAAACCGTGCTCGCCACCGCGACCCAATTTGCCGCGGTGCTCATGGGTTCGAAGCTGTCCGGGTAGGCCCACTCTGTCATGGGACAGGGCAGACAGCACGAGATGCCCGTCCGGTTCATACATAACCGGCCCTCGACGACTGCGTGTACAAGTCAGCAAAAGAGCCCCCCAAGACCACAGGGCGAGTCCAGCGTACATCCGCCATCTCCAAACTGCAGCTCGTTGAGGAACACACTGGGGCACGCGAGCTCGCTGACGTTGGTAGTCATGGTGGCTGGTTCGACCGCCTGACGACAGCCGGGGGTGGAGGCTCCGGGCCACACAGACACTTGTGGTTGAGGGCGACGATTTGCCAGGTGGGTTGGCAGGTTCTGTAGATGGCCGAGACTATGTATACTTGGTGATGGGTGGCAAAGGCCGTTCACATAATGGCGGGGCCGGGATATTTCTCGAAAGATGGGTGGGTTCCGAGTCGGCCGGTGCCAAAAAGAGTCGGGAGAGAGCACGAACCCATCATAGAAGAGGTGCTGCGAGGTGGTGGGGGGGGAGGGCAGGGCAGTGGTATTTACGAAGGACGAAAGGCGGATCTGGTGTAAGGGTGGGCGGCGGCGGCGGACGCGGAGGCAGGACGGTAGCTGCAGGCGCAAGGGAGATGACGGTCCCAAGGTTCCCAAGGCTCGCAAGGCCTGCATGCTCACAGGCTGGGGGGCGGGGCAGGGGCCCCGGGTGCGACCGGGGTGCCGCGAGGCCTGCTGCGTAGCAGTGGCCAGACTGGGTGGTGAAGCGGGAAAGAATCTGCATCCCGCGTACCCATTCGACAGGCTCAGCAGGGTCTCGTCGCTCGAAACGGGCAAGGCGGGGCCCCCGCTGGCAGTCTGGCTGGTGGCCGTGGACGGGGGATCCCCAGCTGCCTGGGTGCCTGGGTGCCTGGGTACCTAGGTACATAGTATGTAGTGTAGGACGTCCGCCGTCTGCTGGGGGATGCCAGGATGTAGTGTAGGATGGTCTTGGACAGACATGACCTCACCCAACGTAACAGGACCAACCAACGAACGGTAGTGTCCCACAAAGGGGCTCCAGGCCCCAAGGCCCCCCAGGCCCCCAGGCCCCAAGGCCCAGGCCCTACGCAGTTAGGGCCTCCGGACCGGTCACTGCAGGTCCACGGGGATCGAAGCCAGCTGTGCTGGGCGAGCTAGGGCGTCCTGGGCAGCAGGCACTGTGGAGAAGATGCAATCATGCGAGCCCGGCAGGGGTGACAGAAAGGGCAGTTCGCCTGTCAACCCATGTTCCCGCGAGATATCATTCCTCCCCCCTAACACCACAGCAGGAAGGATCTGCCAAGCCGTGCAAGTTGAGAAGTTGATGGAGGATTGGTTCGTTCCTCCTCCAGGCCGGTGTATACTGAAAAGATCGAAGCGGCTCCTTGGCCTGCTGCCCACTTGGTCACTGGTGTGCTCCTCTTCCTCCCCACTCCCCACTCCCCACTCCGCCCGAGCCACCCGCCTGCCATTTGCGAAATCCTCCGCACTAGTGTGGCCAGTCCTCGTCCACGGCGAGGGCACTGTCCGGAGACGGACCCCTCCTCCATCTGTCATCTGTCATCTGTCAACTGTCAACTGTCAAGCCTCCTCTGCTGCTCTTGAGAGTTGAGGCGCATAACTCGAACCCGCCCCCCGCCCCAGGCTCCGCAGGCTCGACTCGCCCTCCGCCAGCCTTCCATCCCAACTATCCCTCCTCACCTCGACCCATGACCTCACCGTGGAACCGCACAGACATGATCCGGTTTGTGGGGAGGCAACTGCCGAGAGACGAAGAACAAGAATGAGGGTGTGCCCCGGAAAAGCCCCGGTGCAACCCACGAGGAGATGGCTGTGTCCATCTCGGCCGCCCATCTCGGCCGCCCATCTCGGCCGCCCACCTGCCCACGTGCGCTACTCCATCAACAATGTCTCAGCCCTGAACAATGGCCTTTCCCTGGCCGTCTGCTCCACCGGCTGGGCGAGCATCACACTGCCAGAGTGGGCCAATGTTCCCTCGGTGCTCCACAATTCACCGTCTAAGAATATCTTGTACGATAGCCTATGTACTGAGTGTACGTTGGGCACCTCGGCACAGCCCTTTGTGACTGAGGCCATTGCCTATCGGTGCACAGTGAGCCAGCCAGCTGTGCGCCAACCAGCAAACCCCAGCCCTGAAGTGCGCCTTTGCATCCACTCTCCTGGGCATCGCAGCTTGCCAACCACTCAGGACGCAAGAAGACCACCTCTGCGACGTGATAGGCCAATTACAAGAACCTTTTCCCTTCCGCTGAACCAGCCCTCTGTCCAACAACCGTCCCAAATCAAACTCAAACTCAATTCGTGCTCAATCTTGTCCAGATCATCACACAGTACACTACACACTGAGCCGCTGACATCCCCTGGCTTGCCCCCCCTCCAGAAATACACCAAATCCCTGGCCTTGGCCTCCTTTCTGGTTGTAGGATCCCAAGCCTGAGCAGGCTGTCCGCAAAAAGTGCACAATGTGAATCACGTTTAAGGTTAGCAGAGTTCTCGCCTTAGTACATACCTAGGTAGGTAGTTTCCCTATGCGGCCCACACAATCTTTGTTCTAGTATGGAGTACTGCATAAAGGCCTTTGATGAGGCGAGCCTGAAGGTAGGCAAGGTAGGCCAAGACCACTCTAGGACACGCCTTGAACTAGTCCAGGGGCTGTCAGGAAATTGGACATGCCCCATCACACAATTAGGCTTTCTTGGGGTTATATCCCTACACAACCTAATAATATGGGCAGGTAACAAAGGAAGTATCTGAACACCTGTTGCCCTCAACAATATAGCCCACCCATACAGCCTAGGTCCGACGGTTTATGATGTTGCCGTGGGTTCCTGGTGCCACCACCCTAAACAGCCAAAAGTTCGCAACATAATCCACTTATAAGTACAACAAGGCAAATAAAAAAGAACACAAGATAGAAATAAATTAAAACTAACAGTTATGTCACTGAAAACAGGATAGAGAGAGAGAGAGAGAGATGTTTATAGGATGTTGTGACTTTGGTAGTATCTCGCCTTTGGCATCTCGTCAGATGACCAGAGTCTTTGGCGGGGCTTGCCCTGAGGAGACCTAGGATAGCCTCTGCGTAAAAATTTTGTGTCGGCTCGAGGCATGTAGTTGTTGAAGTAGTACGGGTATCGCAGTGTAAGTAGACCCCTAGGCTTCTAGGCAGCAGGCTCGACTTATGGCAATTCTCTGGTCATGTTGAAGATGGTCATGCTATTTTGAGCTGTTGGCCCTGTGATGAGAAACGATAAAAAGGGGTCCCGTTCCGACAGCCCAGGATCCTTGCAGTCTCATTATGTCCAAGTAAGGTTTTAGGTCGCTCTTCGTTCTGTACCCACTTACACGGAGGGAAAAGTCTCGGGATAACACCTGATTGCACATGTTTCAACAAGACGCTGGAAGCAAGACATGTCGATCCTTCCCGCCCTTAGGCTTCGTACCTGATTACCTAGGTAGCTATTGGTGTGTGGCACATCCAACAGGGGCAATACGGCAACCCCGAAAGCAACCTTGCCTTGGGGGCCAAGATGGCTGGATGGCTGGATGTCAGGTTAGTTAACTTAGCAGGCGGGCAGGCTGGCAGGATGGCTTAGGCGGTGGGGCCTTCGAGTTGGACCATTTTCCAGAAAGCCCCTAGAAGCTAAACCATGACCCTTCCTACCAGGGCTGCCAGGCCGCTCCTGAAGGGGGCAAGTACATTGTGCATTGTAGTGGACGAAGGAACGGCATGACCGCATTAGGTACGCTGCCTTCGCCGTCACTTGCTCCTTCTGGCACCGATCCCCGATGCAAGGGCGTGCCGACGGCCGACAGCCTGCTGTTTTGTGTATATCATGCTCCGAAGCGACAGGACGCCTGCTAATGATTGAACGTCGCGGATCATCAGTGATGCGTTGTCATTTCCCGCAACAGATGGTGACCTCTGTGACTCTGGGAGTCACCTACAAACGCTGCACGCAATGCTGCCCTTATCCCGAGGGACGCACTAACATCTGCGTGGCGTCGACGAGGCGTTCCTCATCATAGGACATACACATTGCCGAGCCATCTCCAATTTGCTCCAGCCTGGAAAGTTATGCGGAGATTCTTTAGCAAGCTCGCTGGTATCCGTCACGCCATCCTCGGGGTCACTAGTTCGCCCGAGGCGCTCCAGGGGCCATTGTGTACGAGTCCTCACGTGCTCGGCCAAGGTTTAATCGCGTAGGGAGTTGTTGTCCACGGACTGACTGGTCATCCACATGGCTAGGAGGCTACCAGGTCCAAGTTGTGACCCCATAGGATGGGGCGAGTTCGCCGAGGTTGTCGGCAGCAAATGCCATGGGGTTATCGCCTTCAGCCCTCTGCGGCCCTTGCTGGCGCAACCGCGAAGAAATCCTCGTGGCCTTTCGTTGCGGGGCACAGCGCAGTTGAGGGTGCCTCGCATGTGGACAAACTGAGCTTCTAGACCCCTTCTGTCAGGACCCTTGGCCGTCAGGCTGTCTCTTGGCGAGGACGGTTGAAAACAATATGGGCGCCCCCCACAGGGTTGCGCCGCCTCCGCTAAACTTGTCTCGAAACTCGGTGCCGTCGTGTCTGGCGATGCGTGAGCATCATCAGACGGCTCTGTGTACTGTTAAGTTTCTACTGTGGGCGACCGTGAGTGGGATTGTGCTTGAACAGGGACGAGCAGCGGTCAGAAGGAGGCTAGCAACTGTCTCCAAAGTGGGAGTTGACGGCAGCAAATACGGAGTACGGCACCGCGGGCTCTGGGACGGAGCAGCGGCTGCATCGCGCCGCTGTCATATTTTTGAATGTTGTCGTCGAACGGGTGGGTCAGGTCACCCCGAGCAATTTAGGTCCAATGCCTGCTCAGTGCAAAGGCACTGACCAGTGATCAGGGGCGGGCCACCTATCCCCAGTCGGCTAGATGTCGTCAAGTCCGCCAGCTCTGCCAGTTGCGAGGCCCAAGGTTCATTCAGACCTGCCTCTATACCTAGGCAAGTACCTAGGTGCTGTACATAGCTAGCAGGTGCTATGTACAAGTGCTGTGGATATTGCGATCCGCGGGCTGCTAGCCGGGATACGGAGCACAGGTGTACTATTGTCGATTCAAGATCTGCAGAGCCTTCAGTCACGTTTTCCACCGGGCGACATGGTCATGGCTGCATGGGCACGGCAGGTCATGGTTGCAGTGAATGAGTGACAGCCTGTGATGGCCGAGCTATCGCCGGGCCGTCGATCTCGTCTTTGCTGGGTTGTACCCAAAGGCACCTGCCCGAACAAGACAAACTACTCAGTACCTAGGTACCTAGGTAGGCACTTGGATACTGGCCAAACCACGTTTCTCAGCCGCCGGTGTTCAGACACGTCCCCACGCCAGGCTCCAGTACGAGGCAGGACCCATTACAAGGGCGGCACTGGACGAGACTTTCTACCATTCTCCGAACAAGCTCCCCATCGTAGATCCAGGGGCAGCAAGAACAGCCCTGACAGCATGGTGAACAAGATCGCAGCCACTGCTCAGGAGCTAGGTACCCTGCCACTTATCATTATGGTTCCACATGGGTAAGTACTTATTGGGCAGGCCAGGCCCAGGGACTCTGCTCATGGTCATTTTTAACACCCAACTACCCAGGTATCTAGGTCCTTTCAGTCGAGGCCATATAGAGGCTCGGCTCAATGCAGCGTGACAGCCTTTGCATCTGCTGTAGGCCCAGCAGGGGCAATTTGTCGGTGCCGTCAGCCTCTCAGCTTCCCAAGAGACTGGTACACTCATTCACCTGCAAATTGGACAGCGGCTCCACACTGCATGATTACTTGGTAGCTCCTCGGGTACTCAAGTGTGGTGTTTCGGAAAATCTCAAGACGGGGTTCGATTGGTCCTGATTGGACCCAGGCACCCCTGCGCAGGCCCACTGCAGTCCAGTAGTACTGCATAGAATCACTTCCCAAGATATCCTCAGCGCGAAGTGCTAACTATGAAGGGAATCGGCCCGCAGGTGGACGGCTTGTGGGGTCCCTAGCATAGCACTTGCAAGGGTTTTTCTCCAGCTCAAGATGCTGGCCAAGACGGTCCACAGAATGCCTCTTTTCCATCAGCCCTCCCAAGAGCATCGATCCCGCACGTTCTGCGTAGAAGCACGGAGGCGGTGGCCCAACAACATTGAAATCTGCCTGCACTGTATGACACAGGCATCGGTCCATGTTCGCCCTGGTCTCAAAGCTGTGAGAGGGGGGGCATCACGGGAAGGCCACCACACTGTTCCTGCTTCCCAAGAACATCGTTCCTGGCTGCAGCTGACCGCAGGCGTCTTGTTGGCGCCATTGACCACTCATGTGCCAATCTCCCCTGCTGCGCCTCGCATTATCCCTCGTGCCTGAGGCATGTTGCAAGCAATCTCATCGGTCTTTCCTCTGGCTGTTTCCGGGCTGCTGGTCTGTACTGCACCGGGTCCCGAGCTTTCGCGGGTATTTTCTCACTGTTATACTCGGGTCAATATCTATTCTGGTACCAGGGTATTTGCCTTCTCGGACCGCCTCGAGAGCTCGGTTAAGCAGACGAGATAGATTACTGGAGGGCAAGTCGGTCGATTCTCCGTCTCAAGAAATCAGATTTCAGCTGCCAGGAGCCCCTTAATGCCTAAGTAGCCTGCTTCTTGAACGACAAGAAATGATATGAAACAAAACTCTTTGACGAAGTCTGTGTCAACTTTCGGCCTTTTCTTTAGACTCCAGCATCATGCCACCTGACGGTCAAGCAGTGCTCAGCGTCCAGGGAATCCACAAATATCATCACAACATTCTATATGGCTGTGCCGTCACCCCTGAAGATCCTCTTGTGGTTGATGCCTAGCGGCTAGGTCACAGCTAGAGGGCGGTTGACCCTCGTGGGGGTAATGCAGGTACTCTGCAGCTACAAGTTATCCTTGATTGAAGGCATCCTGGCCTCCGCATCAGTTCAAGCAAATTTGACGAGTGTGGCTGATCTTGAATGTGCTTCCTCAATAATGTGTTATACCTATGAAGGGGCTCAATCCTCCAATGACCTATAGTAGGCCTTAAAAAGTCTTATACAATTTAAATATCCATACTATACCTCTATTCTAATTATTTAACTTTAATTAATTATAACTTTATAAAAGATTTTATTTAAATTAATTAACTTATATAAAAATAATTATAAGAAGTTATAAATTAATATTTTATATAAAAACTATATATATAATATATTATATTTATTTTTTACTTTAATAACTTAATAATTATATTAATTTTACTCTAATTTATTAATTACTATATACTCTTTATATATTAATTAAAATAGGTTATATTAATATTATTTTTATTAATTTTATAAATTTAAATATTATTTATAGATTTTTATTTTAAAAACTTTTATATATTTTTAATAGAATTTAAATTAAATAATTATAGAGTTTAATCTATTAAAAACATTTTATATATTAATAAAAAGTTTATATTACTTTTATAGTATAAATTATAATATTATTTTATTAAAAGTTATATAATTTATTATAATTATAAAAAACCTTTTATAAAACCTTTAAATATAACTTTTATATATACTTATTATATCTTATTATTAAATCCTTCTTTATTATTATAAAATTACTTTAATTATTTTTTAAATAGTATTTTATATTATTATTAAAATTATAAGCTTTATATAGTTCTTTAAATTAATTAATTCCTTTTATATTATTAATTAAAAAACTTTAAACTTATTTTAAAAATTTAAAAGGTTATTTTATATATTATATTTATTAAAGAAAATTACTTAAAAATTAGTATAAATAGAGATTTAATATAATATAATATTTAAAGTTAAACTTTAATTAATTAAAATCTTAATATTAAATTTTTATTTAATAATAGTAAAACTTTTATCTTCCTTTAATAAAAGTATTTAATATATAGTTTATTAATAATTAATATAAACTAACTTTAAAGTTATAAAAATTATATTATTATAAGTAATAATATTAAACTTTTTAAACTTTATTATATAATAAATAACTTTTTAAAAATTAAATACTTTAATTAATATAATCTTTATTTATTAAAATATTTTAAATAATTAAATTTAAACTTTAAAGTAATATATTACTTAATTACTTATTCCTTTTATTTATAATAGATTATTAATAGTAATATATATACCTTTTAAAATATAATATTAATTAGTTTATTATTATTTATAAAAATTAAAATAATAAATCTTTAAACTAAAAATAATTTATAAGAATACTCTTAATTTCCTAATATCTTTTATAAAAATAATAGATTTTTAAACTTTATAGTAATTATAGGAGAGAAGTTTTTAATTATAGGTAGGTATTATAGTTGATGTATTTTATATAGGTGGGTATGTGATTTGTATAAGACTTTTTGAGGCCCACTGTACTCTTGGTATCTTGGCAGTTGGCTATGTCCTTTCTCAAAGATGGTGGTCATGTCCACTGAGATATGTGTTTTCACCTCTTACGACAATGATTTAAAGATAAAGCCGGGTCAGACCTATTCTAACAGCTAAAAACAGACAACTAGAAAGCAACCGTGACGAACAAAATGGTCGACCGAGTAGCTCCATTTACAGCATGACAGAGTCTAGACTCCGATAATGACTTTGGTGAAGTGTTGGCCATTGAAATATTTCATGTTCGGACGTTGCCTCGGCCACGCAACATTCCAGACACGAAGGGCCAGAAACTCAGAAACGGTGTGGACACGAGGCAATTCCCATGAACAAAGAGTTCACTGATGCTTCTTCTATACAGTCTAAGAAAAAGGAAATGGATACAGGACAGCAGCCGGATTACAATGTGAAACGGGTGAGCTTGTGTGATTTGATCCGAAAGTTCTGCTGCGTCAAAGTTCAAAAAGACTTCCTCTGATATTACATGGGTTGCTGTTTTATTCTGATCACCGTGGTAGGTTTAACGTGGAGCAGCCTTGGTGGGCAACAGTTGCTACTCGCCAAAATTCGGAATAAGAAGTCGCACTGCCACCAAAAAGGATACATAGAGAAACTGATCACGCCCCAATTGCCGTTGGTGAAGGCAGACGTCGGCCATTGGGTAATCTCATGAGCATATATCTGCTCCTGAGTAGAAGTCGGTCTCGTCACGTAGCCGCCAGCATTCTACAAACTTAACTCGAGAACACAATGCTTTGACATCATAAGGCAGACGTTTTTCGGTGCTGTTTTAATGCTGCTGTGTGGACATTGATTCCCAATAATGGCTATTTCTCTCGACTTTGTATTGCTCATCTGTCGCAGGCGCTCGTGCTCGGCCTCGGATGCCCCTCGGTTTGACTTCTTGGGCCGAGATAGGAGATTGACACGCTCGTATGTTCTCCGGTTACTTTGCATACAATATCCATGATTATACCCGTGAGGCTGAATGTATGTCTGGCAAATTGGACATTTTAGACCTTTGGAGCCTACTGAGCCTTCACACGGACAATGTGTGTAGCACCATCCTCACATTTGCCCTGCATGACCACACGCTGCAGTTTCTCGTGCCTCTGAATATTCGAAATCGAATTTATTCATCTTCGATCATGGTCGTGGTGCTCCTGGGCACAGTCGAAGCCGCCGGCTTTACTCAGACACAGACACTCGGCATGGCTTCAAAGTTCGATTCCAATGTGTACTCTCAGCCTGCTCTAAGGCAGGTTGCTCGAACGAAGGTATCTGGGATAAAGGGATAAAAATGCATCATAATGGATCCGGTCCGGGACCCTCGACACTTAGCCATCATGCTCATCACAGCTTGCCCTTGAGGTTAGCTTCCTCGATTGGGCGATGATCGAGACAGCAATCGAATCAGGACACTTGAACCCACTTGTAGGTATCCCAAGCAAACATGGAATCCATCACTCAAAAGACGCGCGAAATGCGGCTAACGTTCCATCTCAAAATGCATTGCTCTATTTCATTTGTTGGTACAGACCAGGCCTCGTAACATGCCGAGCACATTCAGTGTCGCCGTTCCCCTCCCTAGAGACGCGCACCCATTGTATGTCTATGTGTCCACGTCCATCTTCTCGCTCTCCGCAGAGACCTCATGCACATCTACAAATTTCAAGATCTCATCCTTCTTGATGATCTTCTCGTTCAGCACCGCCGTCGTACCCCTGGGGAACTTGTACGACTTGAGTTTCTGGCTCCTCTCGTTGGGCTTCACATAGCCTCGGTGAAGTGTTGTCTTGTCCGCCGTGATTACCGCGACATCGACGTTGCTTCCAGACCCTAGGTCGTTAAAGATACCAGCCTGTATAGCCTGGCTGCAGAGCTCCATCGCCTCCTCCTTGGTCAAGCTGGCTTTCCAAGAACTCTCAAACACACTCATTGCAGCCAGCGATCCAGATCCCATGGTCACGTAGGGCAGCTTGTCGGTGCTGCCGTGCGCGTGGACGGTGAACAAGTGGGTGCCGGTCGGGTCGACACCCGCCACGACGAGGTAGGCACCGATGTAGCCTTGGTATCGGAAGAGGTGCTGCTTTAGCATGGTCATGCAGGTGACAACACGCGGCTTGCGACCCGTAGAGAGGGAGTGCAGTTCGAGGTTCGAGGAGATGATAGCGGTTGTGAACTCGGTGTCTGCCGCGGTACCGGCACCGGCGCACCAGATCTGAGGGGCAATGTAGTGCAGCTTCTCGCAGTTCTTGTCAGCCACGATGGGCCCGGAGGTGGCTCGAGTATCAGCTGCGATCTGTTGGTCCGCAGATTAGTCTCGACACTGACAGCTAGACTGACACCGCAGAAGCACGGCTTGATATCGGGTTCAGCGCACGGCGGGAGCCACACGTCAGGGAAGACAAGAAGATTAGGCTCGGGAGCTCTGAAGCTGAGATGCACATACCACGACACCTCCATCAAATATGCAACCCACGATGGTGGTTCCTGTGCTGGTGGCCTTGGGCAGTGGGACGCCTCGCGCGTGGAGCGCCGCGTTGCGGTTGTAGTTGGAGAAGTCGAACCCTGGCATGATGGCGGCAGTCTAGGTCAGTTGTGAGGCCGTGTTTTTGAAAAGGACAACGAGAGCCTTGGGGTGATCAGGACGTGTCGCTGAGGCTCAGTAGGTGGAAGACGATGGGTGTCGTGATGTGCGGGAACGAGGTGGTCGGTGCCGTTTGTCGAGTGCAAGGCAGAGGGTGTGAGAGAGACGGAGCTGATGGGGCCTGCCTCGCGGGATGACGAGGCTAGGAGCTGCCTTCCAAGCAAGCTGCCTTCAAAGCACCCCCAGACCACGACTGCCCTAGCTTCGACTATCCCTGTCACACCGGTTGGGTCTGGTTGGCCCAAGCTCGGAGGAGCTAGGTGGGTATGGAGCAACAGGCAGGGTTTCTTTTTCGGCAGGCAGCGTCGCGATCTTCAAGTGACAATCGACCTGGATCCATACCACCAGCATTTCTCTTTGTCTTCTCTGGTCCTGCCCATTCCCTAAACCCCCTTCCGGTCGCCATCGATCTTGAATTTTCAGCTTATTTCTATCCAAGCGCATCCCGAAAGCCCCCTTGCAACGCCCCTGCAACGGAATTCCCCATTGCGCGTCTGCAATTCCATGCTCAGACCCCAAGAAGGGACTCGTTTGCCTGGACCCGTCGCGACGGCCAAACGGCAATCGACAAGATGGAAGAGGGCCCGACACTTGAAGTGATCCAGACAGAGGTAAAATACCATGTGTACACCCGGTGGGATGCCCACTAATCATTGGCCTGACGTGTGATAGACTCTTGGATTCCTCGCTATCGCCGGCGACGCGAAGGTCCAGTTGACTCCACCATGGTCTGCCGTGCCCGCGCCGACTGCATCCCTCCTCAGCATTGCATCCAGAAAGGGCCTTGTTGCTGCCGCCGGCCCCGATGCTATACATCTCTCCTCGACAGAATCGGTGCGCAGGGCCTTCTCGGCTGACAAGACCGGTAACACTGAGTTTAGGGCATTCGAGCCCCAAGTCAAGATATCGATGCCCATGCGTATATCGCACCTCGCATTCACCCCAGATGAGAATTACCTGATACTCTCTGCCGAGCAGGGTGGGGGGCTAGCTGTCTATGAGACGCAGGCACTACTACAAGGATCTTCGCAGGCCGCCTTTGAGATATCCACCAGCGGGGAAAGCGTCAGGGCCCTGGTACCGAATCCCATGCCCGAGCTGGCGGAATTCTGTGCCGTTGTGACCACCCAAGGCAATCTCTTAATGGCAAATTTGAAGGACAAATCGCTTGTCAGCGGCCCAAACGGTCCTGTCATTCGGAGCCAGGTTGCTTGCTGTGCGTGGAGCACCAAGGGCAAACAGCTGGTTGCGGGAATGTCTGATGGTTCCGTGGCCCAGATGACTCCTGACGGTGCGGAGAAGGCACAAATTCACAAACCAGACGCCTTCGGAGATGTACATGTGTCCTCGATATCTTGGCTAGAAAACCATCTCTTCCTCGTCATCTACACGGAAAACTCGGGCGAACCGCCCGCCTCGGAATTTTGCATCGTTACGCGGCATGCGTCATCTGGCCAGTCACCCTCGTTCGATTACCGAAAATTGGCCGACCCCGTCCTTCCCTTTGCAAATGAGAAGGCGCCGCATCACACTGTATTGCGTTTGCGAGACTACCCACCAAACATCCAGGACATGCTTGTTGTCGCATCCACAGCCCATGACGGGCTTGGGCTGCTCACAAGATCTAAGGCGCCATTGGCCAGTGACGTGCCTGCAGAAGCCATCACTAATGTCTTCACAACGACCGAGTTCACGGATGACTCCAAGAGGGCAGAGGTGCCGTCAGATCCCACGGAATACACCCCCACCTACCCAATCGGAGTCTCGCTGGACCTGTCAAGCAAGGAGAGTGTGTACAGGCCGATACCCCAAGATGAAGAGTATGAACGGTCGCCAGGACCGCTCCCCGCACTCTGGGCACTCAACCACAGCGGTGTTCTTTCTGCCTGGTGGGTAGTGTACAACGATGCCATCCGAGAGGGTCAGACTTACCCCGGCATGGCTGTTGCTGAAGGTCAGTCTTCAGCGCAACCTGCCGCATCGTCCGCCGAGCCATCAGCTATTGGCTCGCAGGCAGTAAGCTCCCCTTTCGGTGGATCGTCTGCCCTTGCCACGGCCGCGCCTGCTCTGGCTCAGCCGACCGGAGCGTTTAATCCCTTCGGAACAGCGGCACCAGCTTCTTCCACCCCTACATTTGGAGCACCATCGTTTGGGGCTCCAAGTGCACTGGGAGCTCAGCCAGCTGCGGCGTTCGGGCAAGCCGGCGGGCTAGGAACAAAGGTTTCACCATGGGCTAAGTCCTCAGCGGGTGGGGCTGCCCCATCCTTTGGTTCCCCTGGATTCTCCAGCTCCGCAGCGCCCTCGACCGGGGTTTCTTCAGGTGGTAAGGTCTTTGGTAGTGCGGCATCGACGACTTCTTCCACGGTTGGTGGCTTCGCTTCATTCGCCAGCAAGGGCGGCTTCGCGTCTCTGGGAGGTGAGAGCGGTGGGGGCAGCATCTTTTCTAAGCCCTCGTCATCCTCAAGCCCGTTTGGTGCAAGTACGGTTGGCCAGAGCGTCTTTGGTAGCGGTGGGGGTGCGTTCGGGAGTGGCGCAAGTGTCTTTGGGTCACATGAGACGAATAACAGCACTTCCTTCCCTCCCTCGACCTCGAGCCCGAAAGAAGACTCCGGTCTCGGCTCCGCGCCATTCGTGCTGGGAACGACTTTTAAAGCAGATCCTGTTTCGGCCAACGACAATGAGAAACCCGGCGGCAAGGGAGGGTTTGGACTGGGAGGTTTTGGTTCGTCACTGGATGATGCTGCATCAAAATCAACTCATCCAGATAACTCGCCCAAAGACGAGGACATGGATGCTCAGACCACTCCGGCTGAGCAGGAAAAGCCCAAGCAGTCCCTGTTTGGAAATTTCCAACCAGAGAAGCCGCAAACATTGTTTGGTGGGCAGTCTCGAGAATCTACCACACCCACGTCGACGCCGGCACCATCTAAGTTCTTCTCAACGGACTCATCGGCTTCGAGACCTAATCCGTTTTCTGGCCAGGCCAGTGCGAGCAGTCCTTTTGGATCTGCGTCTGTCAAGCCCGGCCTTTTCGGACCCAACAACGACGCAAGCAAACCAAAACAATTGCCACAGTCTTTTGCACTGGAGTCTGGCAACAAAGACAATCCATTCGCGTCAACTTCTCAAACATTGCCAAAACAGAAGGTAGAAACCACAGAAGATGCAGGAGACGTGCCCCTGCCCCCGGAATCAACAAGTAAGGCCGTATACCCATTTGGAGATTCTTCGTCTTCTTCTACGGTTTCCGCTAAATCTGCAGAAGGTCATAAGAGGGCTGATGTCAAGACTCCCGAATTTGTCAAAGATGTGCCACTACCGCCTGATTCCTCAAGCGGATTCAAGGAGACATCAGAGGATACCGACGGATCCTCAGCCGCCCTGTCAGATCAAGAAACTCCTATCGTAAAGGAACCACCCCTGCCACCCATTTCCACGAAATCGAGGTCTGAGGTTACAGCATCCCTGTTCAGTTCAAAACAGACTTCGGGGGCTTCCGGTGGCTCTGATAGTGTCGAGTCCAGTTCACAGCACAATGGGGACCGGAGCGATGCTGAGGGAGCTGCCGGCGAAGACGAGGATGAAGAGGGCGGGTGTGAAAGCGAGGGAAGCGGTATTGACGTCGCGAAGGATTTCAGTCCCAATTCGACCGGGGCCGGGCAAGACCAGGGCACCACACCCCAGAGTTCTTTCAGCGGTATGGGTGGAAGTGCGTTCTCGATGGTCTCTAGGGCTGAAGCGCCACAGCAGCCGCGCCCCTCCCTGTTTGGTGAAATCAACCGAAACGCACCGGTATTTTCGAATCCTGTGCCCACAAGTCCACGCTCCCCGAGCCCCGTCAGGGGAGCAGTGCCGCCGCGGATGTTCCCAGCCGACGGCTCGCGGTCAGTCAGTGCTCCCGGAATGGCTTCACATATCTTGGCAGGCTCTAGGCCTAGCAGCTCTGGACACAGCGCCAAAACGATTAGCACAAGATTGCAGCCCCAGGAGGACCCCAATGTTGTGTTGCAAAGGCAGGCAAAGCAGAAGCAGGCCGAGCAAGACATACGGAGCCTGGAGGACGATGAATTCGAGCACGTGCAGAATTTGCTCGACACCGATGTTCCACCTTCCCTGGATATTGGAGAGTTCAACGCCTTCAACAGCGTCACCGCAGACCATCATGCGTCGACTGTAGCCGCGCAGGTAGAGGCTTTGTATCGCGATATCAACGGCATGCTGGTGACCTTGGGCCTCAATGCTCGAGCCTTGAAAGCCTTTATTAAAGGGCATGAGCAGCATCGGGACAACAACACCGAGAATGACCTCGCCGATCCTGACGGTTGGGTCCTATGCGAGGCCGAAGATCTCAGTCATATTCTCGATGACCACCTAGCTCCCAAGTTGGAAGACGGCCGTCTACAGGACGTCGACGACACCTGGGACATGTGTCAGGGTCTCGTCCAGGAGATGCCTAAGCTCCGCGCAAAACATCAAGATGTCAAGCGCATTCTGGGAAGTGTCCTGGACCCTGACCAAGCCGCCGCACATCGATCCATGCCTCTCAATGCCGAGCAAGCGGCGCAACAGACGGAGCTCCGCCAGTCATACGCCCGGCTAATCAGGCTTATGGCGGACGCCGAAGGCGCCCTGACGATGCTCAAGACGAAGCTAGCTTCATTGGGCAATTCTTCTGGCAAGCCCGCCGCTGTGCCGACCGTCGACGCCGTCATGCGAACTATCACAAAGATGACCTCGGCGGCGGAGAAGCGCAGCGGCGACCTCGACGTGCTGGAGAGTCAAATGCGCAAGTTGCGTTTCACCAACTCGATCGGGCCTCCGAGTCGCGAAGGATCTCCTTTGATGACACCGCCTTCTAATAAAAGGCAGTCTCTTCTTATGAGCTCGGCCACCCAGTTCACGCCCTCACCGCGAAAGAGCCTGATGAGCTCGGTCGGGTCGCTCAACGGCAGTGTGCAGGCCACCCCGGCGCCGTCGCCACGAAAGAAGATGAGCGGATTCACAGATGAGGACAGAGATGTGATCAGAGGGAAGATGCAGAAGCGACAGGCCGTATTGGATCGCTTGCGCAGTAAATTGATGGAAAATGGACCTAAGGTGTCGAGGTACGAGGGTGGGAATTGAGAGCAGGCCAGGCTGGAAGTGCAAACCTTTTACGGGACCCGTTGGCGTTGAATTGTATTGCAGTAGCAGGAAACATGTTTTATGAGTGCCCGCCGGTGAGGGGATGACTGCCGGCTCAGTGCATGAGTTGTTGGGTGATGGGCTGACTAGGACTAGGATGGCCCGGCGCCTTTTGCAAAAATCGAGGCGTATTTGAAGACTATCTAGGTACCCAGTAGACGCACAAACGACCTGCACTCGCAGACTGTGGCTGCAGCATCCGGTGTTCTGAAACCCGCCTAGGTACCTTCCACATTGCAAATCTCATGAGGCAACTGCTCCAAAGTACCTAGTTACCTACCTAGGTAGGTAGGTACCTCACTCCATGGATCACTCTCCAGGGACCCCCCCTTTGGGTGGGGGCATCTTTCAAGTCGACTCCTGAGGAACCAATACGGTACTGTCGCCAACTTCAATATTCTTGTCTCTGTCGCCGTAGAATTTATCTAGATCAGACACCACCTGGCGGCCGGACCATTTCTTCACTAAATCATTTCGGAGTCAGCTAGCAAAGGACAAAGGAAGCAGTGCCGTACGAATGAGGGGCGGAGATGATCCCGGTGTGGACGTGGCCTGTCCCAAAGCCAGAGGAGCGAAATGTTGCTCGAGCCACAGGCTATAGATGGGACAGGGTTGTTGAGGAGGCTGGGATTGCATCCAGGAGCTGCTTACTGATCTTTTGCCCGTCGGCGCGCAGGCCATACTGATACCAATGTGGCATGGCTGCAAGGACGATGAGCGAGTTTGCGAAGGTGGGGCGGACGATCTGGCCGCTCTTGCCACTCAAGACCTGCCTGACAATTGCCTCGGCGACGGTCTCGGGCTCGAGTTCAGGCATCAAAAAAGGGGCGCCGTTGTTGTAGCCCTCGAAGAGGGGGGTGCGCGTGTATCCTTGGTTGACGACGACAGTGCGCACCTTTTTCGCGCCGTAGCGGGTTGCGAGCTCCGCCGCGAGGCCCTCGTGAAAAGCAAGGGCTGCGTGTTTTGAGGCGGCGTAGTCAACCATGTCTGGGACTGCAGTATTCTCAGGATTATGCACTTGGCAAGCATGCACTCTGGATGTAGGCGGACGCCGGAGACTCACCAGTGCACCATGCTGCGATTGAAGCCACCGTCACAACCATGCCGTGATTATTCTCAACCAGGCTCGGCAGGAACTCCTTGATGATCCAGTAATGCGCCAGCGAGTTAACGTCAAAGGTGAAGCGAATGTCCTTCTCGGACGAGTCGAGGATGGTCCTGCCTCGGACCACGCCGGCGTTGTTTATCAGCACGGTGGGGTAGCCGACCCTGGAGCGGATGTCCTTTGCCACTGCCGCGATCTCTTTTGGCGACGTGATGTCACACTTGAAATAGTGAACGTTGGGCGCTGGCGAAGGATGTCAGCACGAGTTCACATGGGTACGAGTGGGATGGACTTGCGAGCTTCATAGGTCAGGGGCTGGATGTCCAGCACCACGACCTTGACCCCCTTCTCGCTGAGGAACCTCACGACGTGGCCCCCGATGCCGCCCGACCCGCCGGTGATGAGCACGATCTCGCGGCCGCGCCAGTCATACTGGTCGTCCTGCCAGTTGTTGACGACGCCGGCGGAGTACCAGGTGCTCAGCCAGCGGGCGAGACCCAGGTAGAAGAGGAGCTTGAGGCGCGAGAAGGCCTTGGGGTGGAGAATGGAGTAATTCTCGCCCTTCTTGGTGAGCTTCGCAAGCACGAGCAGAGGCAAGGTGAATGCGGGGTTGAAGGCTGTCTTGCCAAGCACGCGAAACACCGTATCTGCCTTGAAGCCCTCGCGGGGCAAGAGGCCGTTGTGCATGGGCATTATTCGGTCGAGGGAGCAGGATGCTTGTGTCACGATCAGTCACGGATGGTACGGGGTTGCACGCGAGCAGGAAGAAGGGGACACTCCGGACAGAGATGCGGAGGTGGTGGAGGAGGCTCCATCCATGGGGGTGGTGGTGGTGGTCCTGAGGTGGTGGTCCTGATCGACGAGGGCGCTGCCGGGTTCATGCACGTTGCTGCAACAGCCGAGCTCGTCCCAGGCTATTGGAATCTTCATGTGCTACCGCAGCCGAGGGACAAAAAGTGCGGGGGAGACGGGGGGCCGGTTGCAAGTCGCCTACTTGGGGAAGAAGGGGGGGAGCGGGGGAGGGGTTAGGTCCTCAAGTACTTAGTCTAGGTTAGGTGCGAGGTTCCGAAAAGAGTACTCAAGTACCTAGGCAGGTACCTAGGTACAGCAGCCCGTTGTGCTTCAAGTACATACAAACTGCGAGACTCAAGCCCCGTCGTGCCCGCACGCAGCCAGGAGCTTCTGGCACAGTGCTCCCAGGTCCGGGCTCACGCTCAGGTGGCTCTTGAGCGTCATGACGGCCGCGTTCTGCGCCACATCCACCAGGTCCTCGGCCCTACCCCCGAGCGCCAGACCCGCCACCAGCGTGCCGAGGAAAGTGTCGCCCATGCCGTTGACCGAGATGGGCGTGCCGACCCTCTCCACCGCCGGGTAGAGCCTCATATAGACGCCACCGACGGCCGGGTGGCCCGGCTGTGCCCTGCTGAGGATGTACCGCTCGTGCTCCGGGTCCGACAGCCGTGGGTCCTCGGGCCCCAGGATCGTCGTCAGCAGCGCGCCCTTGCCCCCCATCTTGGTGATGATGGTCGGTATGTACGGCAGCAGCTGGATGCTTTGCACCGGCAGCCCCGCGTCCGTGATCTCGGCCGACGTGAGCCTCACGAACCGGTCCCTCGCGCCGCCGTGCATCCCGAAGGCGTCGACGACCTCGAACCACGCCATGCTGTCCAGGTACCCATGGTCCTTGGCAGCCGTGTACATGGCGGCCAGCTCGTACTGGTTCGGCGTCGCTATGCTGAGGGCGGCGTGCGGGAAGAGAGGCAGCGTGCGGCCGTTGGGGAACAGCCCTGCCGCCTTGACGCTCGACACGGGCTCGTACGCCACCTTGGCACCACTCTGAACCCCGGTCTGGATCCAGTTGTGAATGTCCCTGGGCGACCAGTTCCCGTCCACCACCAGCCACCTGGGCCTGGCTGCCTTTATGATGGAAGCCCAGTACGTGGGGAACGAGTGCGCCGTCAGGATGGCCATGTCCGCCAAGGCTGTGAACAAGCTCTTGTCGGCGTCGTTGACTGCGACGTACTGGGCTGTCCGTGCGGATGCGTACTCCGGGCCCAGCTGGCGGATGTAGCTGGTATCAAGCCCGTTCTTCTCCATGCTCGTGAGGATGGTGGCGCCGGCGCTGCGTTGTGTGCTGTCAGACGGCTGCGCGTGCGTTGCGTGCGTATGCCCCCCTCCTCCCCGAGGGCGGGCTGCTGGGCTCCACTTACATGTCGCTCCCAATCATGCTGCACAGCTTGACCTTGAGGCCACGGTGCACGCTCTGCGCAGCCAGTGCAACATTGTGTCCGACCCCGCCTATGGACTGGGTGATGCCCGCAGGGTTTGATGTGTAGAGCACGGGTGACGCGGGTCTGGGCTCAGGGTATCTGTCATTGTGGAAATTGCAATTCAGGTCGAGCGCAACCGACCCGGCGACCAAGATGTCTGCCCTGGACGGAGCGCCCTTTGCCTCTGGGAGGCCCTGGCCATCCTTCGTATGCGCGCGTGGCACTGTTGGGGCTGGTCTGGAGTATATACTTGAGTCCCATGTCCGTGGTTGCTGATGATATACACGGGGCTTCTTACTGGTGTGATGACCCCACAGCACCGCCCTCAGTCTCAAGCTTGTGGAGCTCGGAAGCAACTCTTGCCGCCCGGGCCACGTTCGACTTTACAAGATGCAAGTTCGCTGGCGCGCTCTGGTCATTGCTCAGCTCCCTGATCCTCTTGAGGATGAAGGGGGTGTTGGCGTTCCCGCTGAAGCCCTGCTGCTCTGCCTCCCGCACCGCCGTGTCAATGATCCTCTCCAGCTCCTCCCTCGGTATCTCGTGCTCCGCGGGGATTGGGTTTGCCAGCAGCATGCCGCTCTCCACCCCCAGCCGCTCCTGCGCCAGTATTATGGCGGCCGCCTGCTTCTCATCCTGGACCGTGAACGGGCTCCTGATGCCGCTTTCGCGGGCCCAGAAGGCAGGAAGCTTGACGTCCCCGCTGCGGCCGTCAGCAAAGGTGGCGACGAGGACACCCTGTGTCTCGAGATACTCGAGCGTGCGCGGGATGTCCAGAAAACCCTTAGGCCCGCTGCTGATGACAGCGACCCTGGTGCGACCAAGCTCGGTCAGGTCGGCAGAGATGTCCATCGTGGACTCGGCCCCGCGGTGGACGCCGCCAAGCCCGCCAGTGCCAAAGACCCGGATCCCAGCGGCCCTGGCGAGCAGCATGGTCCCGGCGATGGTGGTTCCCCCGTGAAGCCTGCGGCCAGACATGGCGGCGCCGACGACATAGGCGAGATCCCTCCTTGAGAGCTTCGTGGCGCCCTCGTGGACCATGCGGTCGACCTCGGCGGGGGTCATGCCGACCCTGGCAACGCCGTCAAGCACGCCTATGGTGGCGGGCACGGCACCCTGCTCGCGGACGACGGACTCCAGGACCTCTGGGAGGTCTCTGCCGAGGGCGCCGTGGGTGTATATGGTCGTCTCGAGCGCCACAACTGGTCGTTTTGTTGCGATGGCATCGCGGACCTCTTCTGATACCTTGAGGAACCTTCCAAGGTCATGCGTTGCCGAGGTTGTAGAGCTCAGGTGTAGCCTCGCGTGTGTGTACCATGGCGATGGGGACGTGGCCCTGGATGATATCCTGGGGCGGAGGGCATTTGGGAGGCGCCAACGGCATGTTCTCCGGGCTGACTCTCTGAGCAGTACCATGGTTATGGTCTGCACTGGACTGTTTGGCGCAAGCTTTGCCGATAATCCTTGGGATGGGGGGAGGGTAGAAGGGAAAATCTCGGTAAAGTTGATAGGTCCTTTGGCTCAGTGCAGCATCCTCACAAGACGGCCGGTGGCCCGGAGCCAAGTCTCATATCTTTTCAGTTCAGACAAGTCGGCATCGATTCAGGCAGGCTACCGTGGTGAAGCTGGCTTCTCGTATCGTGATTGGTTGCTGAGCCGGGGCTGGCCGATTGAGTCACCGGAATGGCTGCAATAGCTGTGGGGTCCTTCCCTAATCTTCCGTGCAGGTGCATGTGGCAGGCACGATAGGGTGCAGCCACGCCTACAGGTAGATAGTTACTATAAACTTAATAAATGATTATAATATTTAATAGTTAAGCTTATAATAAAAATATTTTCAATCTTATATAAATCCTAAGTAAGCTTAATTATAATTATTACTATCCATCTACAGGTTTTCTCGGGAAGCTTGAGCTATTCCCTAGGAGGCTGTCCCATGTGATGCATAGGAGGTAAAGGCAGAAAGATACTATAGGCATGTCACGGACACCCAAGCGAAGCTCGTACAGAGGGGATCAAGCAAAGAGGGCATTTTGTGCCTTAATTTAATCATGCCAGCACGGCCTCTCCTTCCTGGGCGTTAAAGTGCAAAGGCCATGGCAATGCTGACCAGACAGAGCCACTCGGCACCGCTCCGCCAGCTCATCATCCCAGCACCTCCGAGACCCTGGCCACCCTCGGCTTTATCCAGCTTCACTTGCACCACTTGTGAGTCACCGGGCGCGAAGAGTATACCGACAGCATTGGCAGCCGAGGCGTTGATCTGCTCGGGCGTCAGCAACGGGTTGTCGAGTGTGTCACACTGTGCCCTGCTTATGGAGCTTGGGATGCTGTTGGTCACGGCGATTGGGACGTCGAAGATAGTATAAAAGTTGGTGTTGTTCATGACGAAGTTCTGTCTGATAGAGATGTTATAGTTGCCTCGGTCGCTGTCAGATGTCGTCGGCTTGCCGTCTCCGACCAAACATGCGGGCCAGGTCCATCGGACGTGTTTGACGGTGCTACCAGGTTCCTGCAACATGATATCCCCTAGGCTCGCGTTGTTGGAGGATGCCGTACCGTTAGAGATGGTGAAATTCCTATTCAAAGCCAGGCTAGTTAAGAAAATCGTAATATTGTTGATGCGGCTTGGGCTATCAGCAGCAACATCAAGCGGGAGGATGCCATTTGCTGTGACGTCCAGAGCAATCTCAATCGTGTCTATGCCCTGTCAGTCGGCATACGTGACATGGACGGAAAAAGTAGTGATTGGATGTGAGCCATACCACCGCCCATAGGTGTGCCTGGCTGGGGGGAATCAAGAACCGCAAAGCCGGGCGTGAAGATCTGGCCATTCGAGATGGTAAAGTTTTGACACAGGACATGAGTAACCAACAGCGCCAGAATTGGCAGTCGTGCCTTTGTGCAGGATGGCAAATACATCGCCTCAGACAGATGAAGAGCGCTCCGACGCATGAAGCTGGGGAGGGTAGAGTGGTGAAGATCACAGGTGGGGCAAGAACAAGATCTATCACACTGTCCCAGGCGGGAATGTGGACTATGTATCTGTGTGTGTGTGTGTGTGTGTGTGTGTGTGTATGTGTGTATACACGACTGTGGTGCGGGAGAAAACGAACAAGTTTACTTGGGCAAAGTCAGGATGTGCAAGGAAGGAAGAAAGAGAAAGAGAAAGAGAGCTAGAGAGAGTGTGTGGTGGTGGAGTGTCCCTGAGGATTGTTGGTCGTTCTGTGACAGGCGTAAATTCGCCTGGCAGGGGTTTGATGCGGCAATATCACGCTTTGGATATTAGCGAAATCAGCTGGCACGGATGATCAAGAGATAGGTTCCGCCCCATCCGGCTGTGATAGGATACATGCATTTACACTAAGCAGCCAACCTCCTGATCGACGTAACAGCAAAGGGTGATGGGAAAGGGTTGTCGGATTAAATCCAAGTGCGCAGGTGCAGTGATGCAGCACACGTTTCAAAGATACCTAGGTAGCGGATGTTCGTAAATCCTTGAACATCCTTATTCATCTCTAAGCTTTACTAATAATAAGCTCTTAATATTTTATTTTTATTTCTTTAAAACTAATTAATTTTAAAAATAAAACTTTATATAATAAATATATAAAATAATAAAAATTATTATTATTATTATTATTATTATTATTATTATTATTATTATTATTATTATTATTATTATTATTATTATTATTATTATTATTATTATTATTATTATTATTATTATTATTATTATTATTATTAAATTAAAAAAATTTATATAATTAATAAATAAACTAGTAAAATCTATTAAAGTAATATTTTAAGCTAATATAGTTAAATAAAGTAATCTATTAATTATAATCTAAAAGTAAATAATATACTATATACCCTTTATTTTCTTCTATATGAATCTCTAGTCTCCTTTAAATTTTTAGATATTTACTACTTTAAGGAGCTAACATCCACTCACCTAGTAATTATATCCACTCACCTAGTTCCCACTAACCACTCACCTAATACCAATTTTTCTAAGTAACTCCCTTATATTTATAAATACCTTCTAAATTAGCACTAAGAGACCCTATAGTATAATTTCCTTTTCTAATTTCAATACTTTAGGTACAAGCCCCTTCTAGCACCCCTTCTAATACCCCTTTTAGCACTCCTTCTAGCACACCTTTTAGCACACCTTCTAGCACACCTTCTAGCCTGCACACATTTAAGTATCAACTAAGTATTTAGATGCTAACTAAACACTAAAAGGCTAGAAGCCAAGAAGGCAAAAGCAAAGATTATATACTTTCTAACCTTCTAACCCTCCTTCTAACCTTTTAACACTCTAAACTTCTAGCCTTCTAACATTCAATTAGCATCTAAATACTTAATTAATACCTAAATATATACAGCCTAGAAAGCTTAAAAGGTAAAGGTAAAGGGTTCTAAAAGGTAAAGGTAAAGGGTCCTAGAAAGTAAAGGTAAAAGGTTCTAAAAGGGGTGCTAAAAGGGGTCTAAAAGGGGTTTATACTAAAAGTATTAAAAATTTAAAGAATCCTAATTAGGCATATAGTTTTATATGGGCTCTATATATAAATTCTTGTTCTGGGTGAGTAGTTGAAAAAAACTAGGTGAGTAGACACAATTACTAGGTGAGTGGATGTTGGCTCTGCTCTGGGCTGTGCCAGGCTAAAAGGTGGGTCCCGATAAGAGCAACCAGTCTCCAAGGATCGATAAGCCCCACCTCTACAAGGCTGAGAAAGCGGACTTAAATTTTCTCCAAGGCCCTCGACTTTCTGCTGCCTCTTTGATAGCGGACAGGACTTACTCGGCGCCACAATCCACCCAAGACACCCAAGGCTGCTTTGAAATGTCGCGAACGGCTCAGCATCCCTCAAATGACGACGGCTCTTCAGAAAGCGAGGATGAACTGTCCAGTCTTGGGGATGATGACACCCCAGTCAAATCCACCGACCAGATGGATCTTGATGAGGCCGGCTCGGATGAAGACGAACTTGAGAGACTCGTGCTTGGTGACAAGGCCGGTTTCCGGGACAATCTGTTCAGACATGCAGCGGACTCGGACGACGATGAGGCGCTGAAGAGCCTAAGACTGGATGACGGCACGCACGCACCTGGGGCCACGGGCCACGAGGACCTGGACGACTCGGCCCTCTTCATGTTCGACACTGGCTCCGCGCCGGCCCACGGAAAGCAACTCGCCGAGATGCCCGGACACGCGGCCAATGGTGACGGCCCTCAGCCCGCTTGGTTCGACAGCGATGACGAGAAGCTGGCCGTCTCGCTCGCTGGGGTCAGGCAGCTGCGGAAGCTGCGGGAGTCGGAGGCTGATGACCTGATCGACGGGGTGGAGTATACCAGGCGCCTGCGGCAGTACTACCTACGTCTCAACCCACTCCCATGCTGGGCCAAGGACTCTTCGGAGCAGCGCAAAACGAAGAGGCGGAGAAGGTCCTCTGCTGCGTCGTCGGGCTCGGACACGTCCTCGGGCTCCGAGCTCAGTGGCGACGAGGAGGACATCTCTGCCCTGCCGCTGGAGCGGTTCCTACGCGACGCCGGCGCGCTGCGGGCCGAAGGCGGGAGAAGGAAGAAGCGCAAGCTCCGGCCCGAAGTCATTGACATCCAGCGAACGCGCGACATCCCCGACACACACAAGGGCCCCGTCGAGTCAATCTCCTTCCATCCACAGCACCCAGTCCTCCTTTCCTCCTCAAAATCATCAATCCTGTATCTCCACCACGTCGATCCAAGTGCACACCCGACGCCGAACCCACAGCTCACCTCGGTGCAAGTCAAGTCCGTGCCCATCCGGCGCTCCGCCTTTCTTCATCCCGATGGGGATGAGATAATCCTGGCAGGGCGGCGCCGCTTTTTTCACAGCTGGAACCTATCCAACGGCATTGTCAAGAAGGTTACGAAGATTCAAGGCCACCAGGAGGAGCAAAAGACCATGGAGCGGTTCCGGCTCAGCCCCGACGGGAAGCACATGGCCCTTGTCGCCACGAGTCGCAAGGGCGGCGGCATGCTGAACATCGTCAGCGTGAGTAGCATGCAGTGGGTTGCACAAGCCAGGCTGGACAGCCGTGGTGGCATTGCAGACTTCTCCTGGTGGGGAGACGGCCAGGGGATCACCATCCTCGGCAGGGATGGCCAGGTGGGCGAGTGGTCACTTGCGACGAGGCGTACACTGGGAATTTGGAGGGACGAGGGCTCCATCGGCGGCACGGTGATTGATCTGGGAGGACGTGATGGCCCATCGGAAGTTGGCGGGGACAGGTGGGTCGCTCTGGGCTCGACCAGCGGCGTCCTGAACATCTACGACCGGGCCGAGCTTATCTCCAAGGGTCAGGGGCCCGCCGTTGAGGTCAAGCCGCTGCCCGCTCCCATGCGCAGCTTCGAGCAGCTGACCACACCCATAACCGTCACTGCGTTCAGTCCAGATGGCCAGCTGCTGGCGTTTGCCAGCCAGCACAAAAAGGATGCGTTCAAGCTCGTGCATCTCCCGAGTTGCACGGTGTACAGGAACTGGCCAACTGAGCAGACGCCAATGGGAAGGGTGACAGCGGTCGCCTTCGGGAGGTCGAAGGATGCTGACGTGCTGGCAGTAGGGAATGACGCCGGGAAGATCAGAATGTGGGAGATCAGGAACTAAGGCGACGAAGGCGAGTGCAGTCTGCTTTAGGGTATGCATTCTGTCAACGCCATTGGTATCAATAATCTTACACATTTCATCCATCCTAGACGCGGGGACTTGCTCATTCGCATCGGGTAGCTGATCTTCCATCATTTTCAACAGTGCTCACTCCGCCGCTTTCAAGAACCCAAATCAAATCTCGCGATCCCCTCAACAATCGTCTCAACAGCGCTCATTTCATGCCTGCCCTTGATATTTGTGACCCCGAGGGCACACGATGCGGGCTAAGAGGTCACGCAGCGGGCTTCCTCTTGAGATGTTGTGGCGTGGGAAGAACTTGCGGGTTTCCCGCGTGTAGGCGGCCAGGGCTCGCTCGCTCGAGAAGAACACGACGTCCTCGGGCTTGTTCTCGGCGGCGAGGAAGTCGTGTAGGTTGACCCATACATGCTTGAGTGCCTATGGGCAGTCTGACGTGTGAGCATATGTGCCTATGGAACTGACGCGCCAGGCACTGACGACCTATGCATCAACGGGGTCCCCTCACCTTTCTGCACTGTGTCTTGCTGGTGAACTCCTCAGCTTGCTTGCCAAGGTCACAGCAGAGTAGTTTCCACTTGGCCAGGTCATTGTCGTTCTTGCCGAAGTAGTTGTCCCAACTTGCCGCGATGTCTTTCTCTTTTTTGGGCCTCGCTTTTCCCCGGGCCTCGCCACGAGGGCGGATGGGGAGGCTCGCCTGGAGAGGACTGTGGTCTGACATGTTAACGGTCCAGGCACCTGGGCAGGCGTTTGGCTGGCGGTGGCGGTCCCACGGGGTGTGCCAATCGGCGGATTAAGATGAAGATTCCAAGTGCGAACGTGTGCTCAGAGCCGAAGTCTTTCGAATCTCATGCGCGTCGTTATCTAGGTGGGAGGAGGAAGCCCAGGTATGACGCGGTGAAGTACAGACATCGGGGCTTCCATGGAGCAGATATGTGTTTGCCTCCTGCCGTACAAACGGCGGGTGGGGAAATGTCTTAGAACCCAGGAGCTGCCTGAGTCCCTAGAGCACTTCAGAGGACAAAGACTCGCTCGATGGACCCGAGGGTATCTGCAGCTGCAGCAGCTGGCTATCTGACGAAACAGACATCTCCACAGAACTTTGACTGAGTCTTGAGCACCCGACGACGGATGTCGGTGTGGTTCCGCTGAGAACATGAAAGACGTGCACTTCCTTAAGTAAGACTCTACTGAAACTTTCCGAGAATACCGCTGGACTTTCTGTCTGTAACCCCAAACTTGATTGTGTGAAGGCTGCCATAAAAGAATGAGTCTTGAGCCGGCGGTGTGAGGTGGTTGGCGTGTAATTGGGCAAGAGACTTACATTCCATATCTCACGCACATGCTGGCGAGAAACCGGTTGTTGAGTTTAAAACCAACACGCCCCTTTATTTCCTCCCCCACGGGCCACACATTTATCCTAGACTACACACCAGAGGGGCCGCAGTCGAAAGGGATCTGACAGTATAGCAACAGCTTGGGGCCTCAGAATAGTCAGGCGACGACATTAAATTGAGTGAGTCGGTCCTCCCTTCAAACATCAGGATGAGGCTGTTGAAATGTCTTGTCTAGACCAAAGCCCATTGCACACGTCCCACAGCCCATCTCGACCCTTTGATGTATGCATTCGCTCCTGCCGCGAGTGGAATCAGCGACTCTCAACGGGGCCTGACGTCTGACATCTGAGAGGAGGCGGACTACTTCTTGTAATGCCAACACACAATCAAAATCAGTGCTGGCGTTGTAATTTTCAGCAGGCCCTTGCCATCAGTGAATGAGCTATTCCATGGCTTGCAGGAGCATTCTGATGCTCAGTCAGGCGAGGGTTGATGGTGCCTTCACACTACTGTCAACTAACGACACGCCAAATTGTCAACACAGCACCAGATTGTGCACTACTGCCGGCGTAAATCCGTAGCACACCCATGAGTCGAATTGATGTTGCACACTCAGCAGTCTTATTGAAAAGGGATGACAAGGCGCGGGTTATAAGAGTGGTCGCTCACTGGTTACGGAGTACTCCCACACGCCAGACCGACCCGTCCACACGGAAAAGCGCGTATGGGCACTGGGCAAGCGGGCGGCGAGCCCTTGGTGCTGAACTCGGACCGTGTCCGACATTACGCCATTTGCGTCTGGGTCACGGCCAAGAACGCCAGATTTGCCTTGATCGACGACAACAGGGCGTTTTCCCAAAGTGCTGGTACCCAGGTGCTCTAAACCAGCACCGGCGGGGCTGCTCCAGGTCCGGTCCACTGAGCAAACGGTACACAGTAGCTACCATGCCGCATGCTGATAACGAGGCAAGCAACCGCAGTCCCCCGTCCACGCCGGTCCCTAGGAATCCGGTCGTAGCCCGTGGCGCAATTACGAGAAAGGGACATCCCGCCGTTGATGGTGATTCCAACAAACGCGAGCAACCGGTGGGCCTCGGATCATGGCGCTAGCAAAGAGCAGTCACCTACCGAGTACTCCCAGCCGCCCCTCGAGCCTCTGTTCCCGTGGAATGACAAACGGCCTTCCTTGGCTGGCTGGCTGGGTGTTGGTAACTAATGTGTAGTTACTGCCATTTCGGCCACTTGCGTCTGTTGGGCCCCAGCCCGACGACGCCAATTGCACGCCCATTTTGTCTGGAGGCCAGGACCGCACGTCAGGCGTATTGTGTACACGAGGCCACGCAGGCTCGCAGGCTCGCAGGCTGGCAGGCTGCCTCGTCCGTCTTCTTGGTTGCAGTGGGTGGTGAATAATGCATTTAATAAGGGTTTTTGCCATCGCTGGGGAAGCAATGTGAAGGGTGGTTCCACAGCCGAAATTGCGGATTGGGCCCGTTGAGGCCAATTGGCGAATCAGAGAGCGACGGCGGCATGCAATTAAGGCTCAGGTGTTGACAAAAGGGAACTAAGCAGGCCAGGCTAGTCACATAGGGAAGCAAGATTTGGGATTGTCAGGCACACGTCTCAAAGCCCCATCATCACCAAAAGCCTCGCGGTCGACGATACGAGGGGCGAGCGTGCGTGGCAGCCGTGCAAGAGCCGTAGCGCCGAGGCGGGGGGCGGGAAGCAGGAGCTTGATGCCTCGGAACGTCAGGTTGTGTCGTGTGTGTCGTGCTGCAAGCAGGTGTGTGTGTGGCACTCGGGCGGGAGTCTTGGGGTCAAGTTTCGTTTCGTCCCAAGTGTTGCATTGCAGCCTTGCTCCTAGTCTCGCAGTCTCGCAGTCTCGCAGTCTCGCAGCCAGGCAGTCTGGGGTGCCAGCGAGGGCCGCGAGGCAGATCATGATTTGCATCAGATTCCATCGCCCCGTGTGTGCCACCTGGCCACCTGGGGCTCAGGAGCATAATTGTGGGAAGGATCATCAGGAGCTGCCAGGGGAGCCTGGGGAGTTGTCCAAGGGGACTCGGAGGTTTCGAGTCGAGCCAAAGAAAGCTGCTGGTGGTGGCGGTGGTGGTGGTGAAAGCTGCGCCACAAGTCAGCCCAGCCCGGCTGTGTTGGGGAGCTGAGAGCAGGAGGATCCGAGTGCTCCTCGGTGGTCCTGCGCTTGTGCCCCGCGATGCAGCCAGAGGGAGCCGGACGAATGTTCAAACCTCACGCCCGTCCCTGATAAGATTATGATAATTAAGGTTTGACACCACACTGGGCGGCGGGTGGGATGGAATTCCGAAAGGCAAGCAGGGTTAATTTGGTTCCTGGAAGCATCGTCATGGTATTGCAGTGGACCACCACCTACTATGATACATAGTACTTAGATTGCGTTTTTATTTCTTGTGCCTTGGGAGGGAGGGAGTGACATGGGCCGGCACGAGTTCCGGTTTCAGGCCCAAAAACGTATACGTGTATCTGGCGCTGTAATTGCGCGTGGTTGCGGAGTGTACTGTCCCCGGGGTTGAAGATCAAGACGTTGAGGATGGGACTCTACGCAGTATTTGACCCAGGACGTGCGAGCCTCGGCAGTCGTCATCTCTTTTGACTGGCCGAGCATGCAGATGGCGCGACGGCGGCAGGGGGTTGGGAGGAACAGACGAGGCCAAGCCACCTGGCGGGTTGCAGCGGTAAGGGGAAGAGGGTTGTGGCCCGTGGGTTGGTTGGTGTGTCTGCTGTTATCTGTCTTATTATTATTATTAGCCGCCGCAAAGTGAAGGAGTTGAGATGGCCTCGCGGCTGACGGTGGGGGCCAGCCCGCCTGCCCGACTGCCCCAGAGTCAGTGGTGGCTGAGGGCTGAGAGCCGAGAGCGGAGAGCCGAGAGGGAGTCTGACTTGCAGGCGGTCGAGGAGGATTTGGAACAAGGCCATCCATCCTCCCTCCGCATCTGCCGTCTTGCTTCTGAGTTCTGACCAGCCTGACAATTTCAAAATCACGGCACGCCCAGCAGGCCGGTCTGGGCAGTTCTGGGCTGGCACTACTGTAATTAAGAGCCTGGCAGTCCGCCAGTCCAGGCAGTCTGCCAGTCTGCCAGTCTGCCAGTCCAGCCCGGCAAGCTCCTTCCCACTGTTCCCAGGCTTCCCTGTGCCGGCAGTGGGCAAACACAGTACTTCGGCAGCCTGAGAGCTTGGGCCATGTGTGGGGCCACGAGGGCCAACGAGGGCCAACCGTCGGTGGGCAGACAGCAGCCTTTGACCAATCATGCTCGCAGTGCGCATCAGCCCCTGGCTCCCTGTCACCTCGACTGCTACCAGCACAAGGTACATGCATCCACCTTAGTGTAGTGCCCATCGCGCCGCTAGGCCAGCCAGCACCTTCCTTTGTCGCGGTACGGACTAGTAGTAGGTAGTGCGCCCTGCCAGATTTGAAATGACAGTCATTGTTTCCAAACGCAGCGTGGCATCTCAGCGCAGCAGCAAGACTACGTGAGGACTACCACGGCACACAGCACTGCCCGGCAGACTTGGGGCCACCAGCCACGGTTCTGCCTGCAGGCGTCCGCAGCTCCCAGTGACGGCCTGGCACAGTACGGAGTGCTTGGCCAGCCGAGCCACACAGCCCGTCCCCAAGCTTGTTTGGCGTGTGCGTTCGTGGCGCGGTCGCTTGCGGTTCCCCGTGCACGCTGCCAATCGCCGCCGGCCTTCCCCCAGTTCCTCACTCAGATCTGCGACCTGCACAAGAGCGAGCCCTCTGTGCCTCTCTGTGCCTCCCTCTGTGACTCCCTCTGTGACTCCCTCTGAGTCCTCTGTGCCTGTGGCCCTGTGGCCCTGTGGCCCTCTGCCGTCTTCTGGGACCGGCCTGCTGCACCAACCCCATCCTGGAGGCTCATTCCCACTTTCAAGGCTACCTAGGTATCTGGGCACCTGGGCAGGTATCTGCCTATCCACCTACCCACCTGCCCAGGTACCCACCTAGCTACCTAGGTGCCCAGGTACTTCTGGTCTAGTCCCACTCGTAGCCAATGACCCGACTGTTCTGACTGTGTGGCACTAACACTCACTTGTCCTGGCTCCCGCCCTAAGAATCTGGGAACCTGAGGACCTGGGAACCTGGATACCTGGATACCTGGCCTCGCTTCCGCCTGTCCTCATTTCTCTCAAACCCCATACAATCTCCACCCGGCTGCATCCTGCACCCTTCGCACCTTGACTTGGACCCGCGGGCGCTATTGTCCTGTCCTGTCCTGTCCTGCCCTGCCCAGCTCGAGCTCCAGCCCAGTTGTCTGTCTCCTTTTCAATAGCACGCTCGTGTACGGAGTACGCTGCATCCCCCCCCATCTCGTTTTTTTTTGTTTTTTAAAAAAAAAAACCGCATCCATAGTAAAACTGTTCTCTTCTGCCCTGCGTTGCCCCGTACTTCTACTAACCACGGCCCTCGACGAGACGCGCCTCTTGTCTCGCCTTCCCTTCCCTCCTCTTCCCTCCCCTCCCCCTTCCACCTCCTCGGCACCGGCTCGAGTTCCGCAACGGTCCAGACATCGCGGTATCCTCCCTTATCGGCACGTCCAAAGGGACCCGGCATTTCTCCTCGTCGTCCTCGTCAAACATGTCGCTCTTCACCTGGTGTACCCGCCGGTGCGGAGGGCTGGCCATGCTTGCAGCTCTGGCCCTCTCCTACTGGGTGGTTAGCAAGGAGGCCATCGTGTCGCGCAACGATCTCTTCAAGCACCAACAGAGAGATATTCTCAGCCCCATCCCCCAGTCGCCCACAACCGCTGAGGGCGCCGGCTTGTGGACCGTTGTGTTCGCCTACTACTGTCTGTTCATTCACGTCCTCGTCGCCGCCTTCCCCCTCCGCTCCTGCTGGGCCATGTGGGATCTCACCCGCAGCTTGAAGAGGGCCGCCCACAGCAAGGCCCTCCAGAGCCTCAAGTTTGCCCACCGACGTCGGGGCTCTTCCACCTCTCTGTCAAGCTCCGAGACCCTGACCTCATCCCATGGATCCTCCGCGAGCAGCGAAGCTGGCGACCTAGAGGCTGAGCTCTACACCGATGGCGATGCCGAGCCCGATCATATCGTCCATGCAGTCGTGATTCCGAACTACAAGGAGGAGTTGGACACCCTGAGGGAGACATTGGAGGTTCTCGGCTGCCACCCCCAAGCCCGCAACAGCTATGATGTGAGTTTGAGCTCCTAAATGATGATGTCAGCGTTTTCGCGTGCAGAGACGCTCCGCTTTGCCCACGCCAATCATCATACCCCGGCGCCCCGGGGGTGTGGTTTGAGGAAGAGAGCAAGATCAGGCTGACAATCGTGAACACAGGTGTATCTGGCCATGGAGTCTCGCGAGAACAATGTGGAGTTGAAGGCTATGGGACTCGTTCAAGAGTTCATCAAGAAGTTCCGTTCCATCGACTTCACCATCCACCCGTCTGACATTCCTGGCGAGAGCGCTGGCAAGGGCAGCAACATGGCCTGGGCCGTTCGCAAGCTGAGTGAGAAGTACTCCATGGAAGCCCGCAAGGATGTTATTGTCACAGGCATCGATGGTATGTCTTTTTGGATGCTTCCTCCTTGATTTGCTTCGGGACGCCCTTCTGGTTGCTGTACACCATCCGCACCACGACACTGACATTTTGTGCCTGCAGCTGACAGCCATCTCTCGTCCAACTACTTTGCTCACCTTACGTCCATGCATTTGTCCTACCCCGAGACCGCTAAAACGACCATGTACGCCGCGCCAATCATCTTTGACCGCAATTCGCACAGCGTCACCGCTCTCGTCCGTGTTGGCGATATCCTCTGGGCATCAGCGGGCATGTCTGGCCTCTACCGCGGCTCAACAATCGCCCCGCCAACTTCTGTCTACTCTGTACCTCTGGAGCTGGTCGACCGCGTTGGCGGGTGGGACTGTGACCCCGAAGCAATCGGCGAGGACCTGCACATGTACCTCAAGTGTTTCTTTGCACTCAACGGCAACCTGACTGTTCGCACCATCGTCAGCCCGGTCAGCCAGACCAACGTCACTGGCGGCGCGGGCGGTGGGCTCAAGGGTATGGTGGCCGATATCAAGGCTCGATACAAGCAGGCCATTCGTCACATGTGGGGGGCTCTCGACTCCGGATACGCTATTCGCAAGGTCGTTGAGCTCTGGCAAGAGAGGAAGCACACCTCACGGTCATTCCGTCCTATCCACAGCACTCTTCAAGACACCACCGATGTCTATGTCCCACACAACCAGAACCTCGACCCTGAAGCGCCACCTGCCGAGAACGGTATCTTCTCCGACGTGACTCACGACACTCTCAAGGGGCCCAACTGGGAACGCATCATCTACCTGTTCCACCGCCTGTTCGAAGCCCACTTTCTACCCCTGCAGACCACCATCCTCATCATTGCTTCAACTCTGTACGTCTGGGCCACAGAGGGCAAGCCGGACGTGCACGGTATCAACTGGATTTTCGACGCTTGCAATGTCCTGAGGACTGCAGGCTTCATGGAGATTGCATTCCTGTTGTTCCTGTACGAGCGCTTCCACAGGATCTGTGTGCAGACTCGCGAAAAGGAGATGAGCGACGCGGGTCTCGCCAAGGGTATGAACTTCTCCCACCGCCACGTCAGCAAGAACTGGAAAGACTACTGCATGGTTCCAATCGTCGCGCCACTGTTCGGCGCCGTCCCCTGCGCTCAGGCCCAAGTCTGCCATTTTTGGACGCTCGATCTTGTGTACACGGTCAGCAAGAAGGTCACACGACAAAGATCGCGGTCCATGGCCGCAGCCACGCTCGCATAATGATACCATCACGACCCCATCATTCGCTTCTCCCAACCGATAATTTCAAAACCAATTTTACCTACCCTTCGACCCGGCCTGGAACCTGATCACGCACGTCGACGACGAGATCCGCGCCGTTCCTCATTTACACTTTCGATTCTGTGCACAGCTTTGGAGACAAGGAAGATTCCTTTTTGTCCTGCGGATGTGGAAGACACGGCTTTCCGAGCACCTGTGTAAATAGAGGGCATCATGATGTTTTGCATGGCATTGGCATTCGGCATCTAGATTGGGGGCCAACTACAACACTGGGGGCTCTCGAGGAGTTTGGGAGCAATCGCGGCAACGGGTACGAGAAAGAGATATCCTGCTCCGCCGCAGTCGTTCGCTACTTAAAGGGAGGAGACAGGTCGTTGGTCCAATCCACTCGCGGAAGGCTTCAAGATGCGACTCCGGCCGCACTCCGGCCCGGGTTGGACTGCGGCCTCAGCTGCCCGGGATGAGAGGGTAGGGCTAGCTCTCCTGGGCAGCGGGGAACCTGGACGTCTCAAAGCAGAGGAGGCGGAACAAGGCCAGGAGTAATCAAATTAGCCCGGTAATATCTAATTCTTCATGTACGGTGGCGGAGGCGCACTAGAAGGTGGCCTGACTTTGACTGTCTGATCAAGGTAGGGCAACGCAACCGACCCGGAAAGGGGAAGTTGTGGCTTCACCATGCCAGAGAGGGAGAGGTGGGAATTGTACGGAATACTTTGTATCATGATCAAGACAGAAAGCTACGGCAACTGCTGGGACGCCCATGAACAGCTGTGGCGACCCACCACCAATACGCGACAATATATGATGGATGGAATGACTCAATGAAAGAAGCCACTCGCTCAACGCTCAACGCTCAACGCTCCTACCTTTCTCTTCAGCTGAATGTGACTGTCATCAGCCGTGTTGGACCCGATTCCTTCATGTACGTGGGCAACCGGGTGTGGTTACGTACTCTGCCTAGTGTGCGTTTTCCTCGGGGCAACCGGCCCTCTCACCCGTGATGGGCATTGCCCGGATTGTGCTGAAATGTCAATCAGGGTTTCTCGCTTCATAAGATGTGACTCTCAGGATCAGCAAAAGTGATTGTTCCCCAGAACCACTCGCTGGCGAGACCGGCACTGCCCGTGCAACTGCCGACTGGAGACGGAGCTTGTTTGTTAGCATGTCCGATCACAACCCAACGCGTCTTCCGCGAAGAGGCCGGGTCCGACACTGCATAGAATCTCGGCTGAACGGTGGTGGTCGACCTAATAAGGCGCTCACGGTTGTAATTAGCAGCAGGGCGGTCCTTACACGCCGCATACCAAGACGCACTTGTCTACCAGGACACGCAAACACAGCATCACGCACGTTGCCATTATAGTACCTATCCGAGACTGCCTTGCATTCAAGACGCGGCAGGCTGGCGACATGAGTGCCCGCAAGGAAGCATCATAGACGTGTTCGCCATTGGTTCTTAGCAATAACTCTCACCACTGCCTGTGGCTGCCAGGCATCCTTCTTCCCGGCGCCTGAAGTAGAGATGTCGTATACCGGCAGCGAGAAACCAAGTTAGGTCCCAGAGATCTAGGCTTGCCTTTCTTTGACATCTACACCCCCGAAATGTCGTCAGGTTATTTGTCCATACCAGGTTTGGCGCTTTCTCTTTGCCATGTCTTCTTGATATGAGGCTTCAGTGTGAACCGTTCCGCGTGAACAACTTCTCCGTGAGCATCCCGGTAAGCCAGGTGGTTAAATAATCGCGCACGGGCTTCATGATAGAGCTTACTGCGAATCTGAAGCTCGAGCTCAGCAACGACTTCTCCGACGTCAAGGTCGTGCCGGCTATCCTGGACGCCGTGATTGTGCCAGGCCCAGACCCCTGAGAGTTTTGAGGCGGTTTTGAGGACCTCCTATTGTGGTTCCGCCAGCAGGGCGCGACTCCGGGCACGGTGATCCTTGGTGACTGCAAGGGTATAATACCTCTGTGGTGCGGCGGGTCTCTTGGATGGGCGAGCAGTCCGAGCTGAAGAAGATGTACCTCAAGGCGGAGTTAGTCGGCGACAGGCTGAGGTGGGCGAAGGGTAGCCACTTCTGGAGCACCGGGCGCATCAACAACGGCAACGACCTGGCTGCAATTGGCATTCGCATTGGGATATTGCCGGATATTAACCTGCATACGGTCACGTGTCATCCAGTCACGCGTGGTACACTTCAGTAGGCAACGTTATTGTGCAGAAAGATTTACATCGAGCGAGGCCCATTTTGGTCACAACAGGGAGCGGGTGGGTGCATCATGGTTTTGACGTCGGGATTTGACTACCTAGATTGAGCTACGTAGTGCCTTGTGGGTTCCCGGCGGCGGCGCCGGCAAAGGTAGACAGGCCCCATACCCGTTTATCTTGAGATTACTTCTTGTACTCTTCATCGGTGGTGTCCTGGACGGTGGGGCTTGGATACCAAGGTCAGCATTTGCCAAGAGTCTAATGTACTGGGGCCACAACATGGTCAACAAGAAGAGGATTGTGACTTGCGCTTGATCCTTAAGCACCGGGGTGAACTTACGGTTGGTATCCTGAGCCTGACATGTTGGCTTGGCTGATGTGTCCTTGAGACGTGGAGATAGGAAATTGCTTTGTAGAGTACTATTGATCTGGCTGTTATTGTCTGTATCTTGTTTGTTTTGGTAGATCTTTGAACGTTGGATGTGGTCCATTTCGGAACAAGGTCGATATATTTATACGAAAAGTATTCCGCGTGCCAGCATTTCAATGACACCAAAGGAGTCACTGACGGGCAGCCCAGCCCTCGTCACTATTGCTCCAGTGTGAGGCAAACATTTCGATCGAGCCGTGGCCTGCATTTGCGGCGTAGACACACACAGAGAAAGAGAGAGGAGAAAGAAAGAAGCAGAAAGGAAAGGAAAGAAGAATCCATATGTCATTGGGTTTTGTTCCAGGAGAGGTGCTTAAGTCACTCTTCCGCCTCCATCAGCGCACCGTGCTGCCTTTGGTTGCTGCGAGGAGGATTCTGTGTTTACACTGACCATCACGCTTTTGATCGACCTGGCCCGGCCGCCCCAATCCCTCACGTCGAAGCAGCCTATTGCCGACGGGCGAAAATGGGTGCCCGGCCGTCGGGCGGACCACCCACCAAAACCGCAAAACCTGAGGTCCCGTCATCGATTCACACCGCGTATTCCGCCTCAGAAGGCCGCCCCGACAGAGAATCCTTGGATTTAAATCAGATCTCATTAGAGAGAGCCGCCCAGTGTCGCTTGGTTGCCCTGCCCTGAGCTGTGCCATCGCGGCAAAGCGAATGGGACAAGAGTTTGGCTCTGCAGTCCTTCCTGCAATCAAGGACTGAGGGATAATGCAGCGAGCCGCCGTTATTGCTATGTGGGTGCTTTGACCGACTGCTTGTGCACATACACTCGAGGAGCAAGATTTCCAACCATGGACAGACATTTCCAGGGTATCGCTGTTGCGGGCCTCGTGTCCTGTCGACCTAATCAGAGGTGGTAGTTCAGATTGGAGAAGAACCCATGTGAAAGCCTGTATGGCAGACAGCATATTGCCACCCCCCAAGCTTCTTCACGATGTATCGCGCCAGTTCCAATAGGGCGCGCTCAGACCACCTTCTCAAAAGTCTTCTGGATAGGCTTGGCGGCATCGATGAACTTTTCCAAGTCGTTATCCAGATTGGCCAGGTCCTCCCTGCGCTTCTTGTTTTCAGTGATAAGCTTCTGCTTCCTCTTGAGAAGTTCCTGTCGCTGCTGCTCGAGAGCCTCCCGCTCTGCGCGCTCGTCCTCTATGCGGGCTATCATGAGCGCGTTCTCGTCCGAACCCGCGTACTCGGGGTGTTTTGCAAGAAACTCGGCAGCAGGAGCCAGTGGGAGCTTCTGATACTCGTGGCTGAGGAGAGAGGCGAGGTCAGCAGGCATTGGGGGTGGACATGTGCCGAGAGATAGCGTCGGGGAGAGAGGGGTAGGGATGAGGGATGGCCCACTCGTGTGATTCGCAAGCGGCGATTTCGCCTTGCAAGTGGCGCTGCTCATAATACAGGTTCTGTAGCTGCAGGTGGAGGACGTCGACCTCGTGGCGGGCGTCGGCAGTCTGTGACTTGGTGTCGCGGGCGGCGAGGTAGGCGGCACGGTGCAGGCCACGGAGATGCGACAGGTTTGTGTTGAGCAGCTTCTGTTCCTTGGAGAGGGCGACGTGTTGGCCGGGGCTCAGGGGCGCGTTTGCGCCGGCGGCGGACATGGCAGCCAGGCGGTCGGCGAGGCCGATGGCCTGCTCGCGGGCATGCTGAGAGGTCTGGAGGAAGGAGCGGAGGGCCGGATCGGTAACAATGGAGTCGATGGTCATGGTGACGTGCGGGATGGGGAGGGACGAGAGGGACGAGAGGGACGAGAGGGACGAGAGGGACGAGAGGGACGAGAGGGACGAGAGGGACGAGAGGGACGAGAGGGACGAGAGGGACGAGAGGGACGAGAGGGACGAGAGGGACGAGAGGGACGAGAGGGACGAGAGGCTGCGGGCTGGCGGGCGGAGGCGCGACGGACTGTCGACGGGCGAGGCTGAAGCTTGGGGGACATGGGCAGCTGAAGCCTTGCCGGGCCCGCCTTCTGTGGGCAGGTGCTGGTGGTCCATGCCCGATCGGGTAGCTCCTTCACAGCCTGGCAGCCTGACAGCCTGAGAGCCCGTGGTTGCAGGGGTGGTGGATGATGTTGTGTGTGGTTGGCCCGCTATGCTTCCAAGGGTCTTGGTGCAGACTCCGTACCTAGGTACGGAGGTACCTTCGGTAGTGCGGGCACCTACCTACCTACCTAGGTACCTAGGTAGGCAGATACCTAGGTACCTGCCTGGGTCGGTAATACGGAGTACTCTGCTTTTTGTCCCGGCAGCCCTGGGCTGCCTGGCCATCCCATCCCGACATCAGTCATTCAACCCGAGTCGTGGGAACGATGGCCAGCCGCGAGGGTCGATGTTGGTCATGGGCCAAGCAAGCGCACACAGGCATCCAGGGCAGCCAGGAGAGGCACGCTCCCAGCCCTTCCTTGCCGTGCAGTCCAGCCAGGCCAGCCAGGCCCACTGCCATGCTCCACCTCCAAGAAATAAGACGGAGATTCACCTTGTTTCGCAAGCCGTTGGGTTCCCGTGCCTCGCCGCAGTGTCCCGGCCCCTCGGTACTATGTAGTACCCATGTGTTGTGTTGCACAAAGTCTTGCTCACGTTGGCTCGCATTGGCCAATCACGACAGGATCCCCTCGCCGAGATCTGCGCCTTTTCGACAAGGGAAGGCGGATCCCTCCCAGCCCGGCCCAGCCCAGCCGAATCGGGCCTCAATCACATTGCACTGCAGCCCCAAGAACCACAGCGCGAGCGGTGCATTCTTTCATTCCCTCCTTGCTCCCGCATGACAGCCAGTCTACCCGGCCCCCTCGCCCCCTCGCCCCCGCGCCGCCATCACAGCCAATAAGTACCATCGCCTAGGGCTCGTGGCCTCTCTCCCGCATGTGAAAGCCATCCTCGTATCTCTGCTCAACCTGGCCGGCCCTCTTGCACCCTCCATAACTCGCCCGCCAGTCATCATGAACGGTCCCTCTTTAGCCATGACCTCCTGCGCCCCTTTCGCTGTCCGGGCCAACGACGGTAGCCCGCCGACTGTTGACTCTACCGGCGCCGACACCCGGCCAGGAATTCGCCGAAGACGTCACAGCCACTTCATCCCACGCCGCCGGAAATCTATAGTATCCTCCATCATGGAGGGCGAGGAGGCCGTCATCCTCAAGGTCTGTTGCCTCTTTTGCACCACACCACCACCTAGGCCGTCTGGCTCGCTGACCACCAACCCCCTCAGGTCGACCTGTTCCTCTCCGAGCTTGAGCGAAGGCTGGAATTCCTGGAGAGCTATACCGACTTCACAGTGGATTCGACCCTCTCGAGGGCCTACAACACGTTGCAGACTGTCCGGTCACGATGCAGCCAAGTTTCCGAGGAGGTTATCGGTGAAGGCCGGAGGCGCTTCCACGTCATGATGGAGACCATGGAGTACAGGTATCATGACGCACTCGAAGCCGCCGACTCAATGAGCGACAAGGCGCGCGTCAGCATCGAGCTGCTTGACACCATGCTGTCCGACGTCGAGACGCGAGCCCACAAGCTTCGCCAGCGTGGGTTACAGAACATGACAGACGCGGCAGAGATCGTCATCGGCGAGGGCCGTCACGTCCTTGACAAGGGCCTGGACAAGGCCCGCGGCGTGGTCGAGGAGGGCCTCCGTGGCGCAAAGCATGCCGCCGAGAGCCTCGAGGACAAGATCCAGAAGGCTATGCTCCGAGCCAAGGAGCACGGCCTGATTTGCTATGAAGACCTTCCCGTGCCGTGGAGGGTTAACCCCCACATTGTGAGTGGATATAGGTTTACTGAAACCTACTCGGGATGCATCCGTTCAGCATTTGGCATCTCGAACGAGCTCGTCAACATATGGTCCCATGCAATCGGCCTCATCCTCGTCCTCGCCTTGGCATTTTACTTCTACCCAACGAGCATCAACTTCCATCTCAGCACCAACGCAGACGTCTTTATCGCGGCCATCTTCTTCTTTGCAGCCTGCCAGTGTCTCGTATGCAGCACAATCTGGCACACCATGAACGCGATTACTGATGTCAATCTAATATCGACATTTGCGTGCGTGGACTACACCGGCATCTCCCTCCTGATCGCTGCGAGCATCATGACTACCGAATATACAGCCTTCTACTGTGAGCCTGTCAGCCGGTGGGTATACATGGTCGTAACAGGGCTCCTGGGCCTCGGGGGCGTCATACTCCCCTGGAATCCGACATTCAATGGGGCAGACATGGCATGGGCTCGAGTAGCATTCTTTGTCTTTCTCGGTGCCACGGGTTTCCTGGTAAGTGGTATTCTCTCATGTTATTGAGAATTCGTTCCTCACGCGCACAACACTGGCCTTCCTCTCAGTCCGACCTCTTGGTGGGAGCCAATTGCTTACAAAGTTTACCAGCCAATCATGCAACTGTCCATATCGCGCGGTACCGAGTTTGTCTGGGAATTTTACTCACCCATTGGTAAAAGCCTTCTGGTCTATGTCTCGGGTGCCTTCGTGTACGCGAGCAAGGTGCCTGAAAGGTGGTTCCCAGGGATGTTCGATTATTTTGGCGGATCACACAATCTGTGGCACTGTGCAGTTCTGGGTGGGATCTTGTTCCATTACACGGCCATGCAAGAATTTTTTGCACAGGCCTTCAGGCGAGCAGAGGGCGGATGCCCCTCATATTGATGATTGCTAAAGATATCTTGAATTATTGCGTGATCTTGGGCCCGGCCAAGGTCTGGGGTATCTTCAATACTAAAACATTGGAGGGCATCACGTCCAAAAATCGGCCGAGCGCTTCTCGGAAAGTACAAACGCACAAGGCTAGGGGCCGGCTCCTTCCGACAACAAGCCCTCAGCAAAAGGACATCAAGACTGCAACTACCATGATCGCAGTACCCATCCAGATCAGCGTCCAGCGCTCTCTGTTAGCAGCGGAGGTCGTGGTCACGGTAGGCTGAACAGCCCCGTCTACCGCAACCGCACTGGGCCTTACCCCGGTCGACACCTTCGCGGCGTTTGCCTCCGCAACGACCTGGGTCGTGGCAGTAGGGTCTTCGGGTTTGGACTTGGACAGTCGGAGGCGAAGCGTCAATGGCTCTGTAGCCCCTGGGCGAGGCTCTATGGTTGCCGAGGTGGTCCCATTCCGCTAGGGTCAAGTTAGCGAATGCGAAGCGCGTCTCTCGAAACCTTGTGGGAATCCTACCAATGTGTACGGCTTTACATGACGACCGGCGGATGCGGCATCACCGCAGCTGGTGCACAGCACGAAGGCCAGGAGAGGCGGTTGCGAGTTAGAGTGAGCCAAGGCCTGTGCGTTGCCGGCGAAAGCCTTCCAATAGCCAGGTGCATCCTGTGCACGCTTTGCAGCTATTGGCACAAGGACAATGCCGAATATGACGAGGAACAAGGTTTCCCGGAGGGTGGAGACTGGGACCATGGTGCAGCTGAGCGGCCCTCGAGAAGCGAGGTGGGCGCGGCGGTCGGTGCCCGGGTCGAGTTGGATGACGATGAAGAGTTCCAAGACCTAACAACAGCCCCAAAGCTCGTTATTGAAGGGGGAGCTTGAAAGGGGTATGCGTTGGCGTGCGAGAAGTGAGACCTCTCACAACATAGATGATAGAAATAAAAGCTAGAGAAGACGGTGCTCTTTGTGACCAAGCCCCAATCGAGGTTGGTAACTCATGTCAGACGAGCTCCAGCGGCTCAGCCCACAGTGACGGGTTATCCAATGTTTGCAGGGTGAAACGAGCGACCTGGTGCTGAGGACAGCGATGAAGCGAAGATTGGGCGTGGGGGGGGGGCAAGGTTGCGCCGTGTGTGCACTGAGCATGGACCTTGCCTTGCTGCCTGATAGACAGGCTGACGGGCTGCTGGTTTGCGGATAGGCTGACTGCCTAGAGAAGTGGGAAGAGACGGATGAGATGGATGGTGGGCAGAGGCCGTTAGTTAACGAGCCGCGGGGTGATGATGATACAGAACAAGCAGATGGAAGACCAAGCTGAGGCAGGCCGACGGCCATGGCCGAGCGATAACATGGCAGCAGGGGAGGGAGAAAAAAAAAGAGGCGCGACGTCAACAATACACTCTATCGGCCGGACGAAGTCCCAGGTGGGTGGATCCTGCCGGACCTAAGACGTTACAACGTCACATCCAACGCTCGCTCTTTCCTCCCACCTGCGACGCAAGCCGCCAACACCCATGCCTGTTCAGAGGCCCAGGGCAGCACCAAAAACAGGTATGGACAAGGCCGTCACAAGAATGGCATACTCTCAGGCCAGCCACAACCCAACGGTCGCAATTGCGAGGGGCCGCAGTAGGCGACGGCGGCGGCGGCGGCGGCGGCAGCGTCGAACCAGCGGCCAAGGCCAGGGCCGCGTTTGTTACTATTATGGCGTGGGACCCATGTCTGTCAGCTCTACTCCGTACAGACATCTGGAGTGCCTTGGGCGGCACCCACCTACCCGCCTGGGCAGCAAGGTCCGTATGCCAGGTACATACTCCGTACAAGGCAGGCATCTCAAACCCCAGAAGGCCTAATTGATAGATACCATGGCCGTGGGTAGACCCTGCACCGTCCCATGCATCACCTTCGGGGAACCAGAAGTCAAGGCCCTGCCCTCCCGAGAGCACTCGTACGTCATCGGTCTCTTGGGCTCCTGGTCGGACGAAACACCAGCTCAATGCGTGCCCATGATGCTGCCGACCCTTGTCCGACCCGCCTGGCAAAAGCTCCCGCTGTCCTCCCGGCGACCAAGACAACATGCAGAGTGGCTGGCTAATTTTAGGGCGGCTCTACAGCACCAGCCCCAGGACAGGATCCTTCCTACGAGTGCTAGTCGTTGATGGCTCCAACCGTTGGCCGCATGGCTCGGCCACTTCCTCCTCGATATCCAGGGACATCCATCGGGGTGGAGCAGCCCCTCGTACATACAAACCTGTCGCACAGCATCTGCGAGCAATTGCAGATCCATGTCCTGTCCTGGTTCGGGACACTTTTTCGTCTGACCCCTAGGCTGGCTGGCGCTGGGGCGGCCAAGGCGGCTGCACCCTTCTACCATTACTATCCTACATGTTTGAGGCGATGGGTGTCACTGGACGGCGGTACAAGATGTCATCTCCGCGTGGCATCGTGGGTGATGGGCAGGATAACCACTGCATGTGCTGTAGTAATGGCCAATACCAATGACAGCCCTGGCTAGACCGCCGAGTTTGTGCATCTTTCTTTTCCCCCGTGGATATCATAACCTGTCTCACTTTTACAAGGGCCTTTTTCGGATCACACAGCCATACACAGGCATCGCGGCCCAAGAGTTGTGCTTCTCCGCTGCCTTCGCGATACTTGCACCCCTCCTTGAATGAATAGTCGGGCTGGCACCCGGCCAGGATTTCATTGCCCCCGTCCCCGTTGTTGGCCGCATTTCCCCGGCCATGACGTTCGTGATTCGTTCATTACTCGTCGCATCGTTATCGTACATCATTTCTTTCTTGCTGGTTTGACCGTGCAGCTGCTCGCTCGGGTCTGCACTCTTGTTCTAGAGCGCAAGCGCCTGGTGCGCCAGGCTCATGTGTGAGCTGAAGGCTTGGCTACCTCGCCGCTGGGGCGGATTGCATAACTTGAGTGCCATCGTCGCGTTCAGCTCTCTACTGACCCGCCTTGTGTTACACTCCCCGGTCCGAGGTGTGTTTGGGGCGGGGGAGGTTGTCTGCCCGTGTCTCGCCGCGAAGGTCGCCCGCATCAAGTCACATTGCGTGCGAAATAATCTCAGCGTACACATCGTCCGGCAGCTTGGCCAAAAGGGCCAAGGTCATTGCCTGAACCTTCTCTGCGTTCAAGGCTGGGAACGTCCGCAGGAAATGACTAGGACTAGATGGGACATATCCGTTAGTCACTGAAGTGAGAAATATCTGTCTCGGCCATGGTTCTCGGTCACCACTCACTTGGGCGAGGCCATCAGCTCGTCGCGGTGTATGACTAGCTGCGCGGCAATGCAGACGATGTTCAGGTGCGGCCCGTATGCGAACAGAAAGTCCCACAACCTCAAGACCTCGGGCAGCGGCGGCGTGCAGGCGCACAGGGTCATGACGCTGGGGAACGCGTAGAGCTCGGCCTGCATGCCCTTGGACGTCAGGAACATGCTCAGCTTGGCATCGACTATACCGAGCACCTTGTCGACCAGCTTTAGGCCCCGGTGGACCCCGTCCATGGCGCCGCGAATGTAACCGGGGCACTCCCTGGTGAGCAGCTGGTGGAAAGCCACAAAGGCTTCGGCCTCGCTGCGGGCAGCGTAAAGGAAGGGTGCAGCCAGGACGTTCATACCCTGCACGTAGGTGCCCGCCTCGGGGGCCACGCTGCTCTCGGAGCCCTCGGTGGTGAGGGTCAGGGCGCGTGCGCGGTTCTTGGCTGCGGGGCTGGAGCTATGGGACGGATGGGCGGCGTGCGCGCCCTGTGGGGTGGTCTCATGGGAGGCGGGCAGAGACTGGCGGGTGGCCGCGATGGGGTTCTGGGGCCTGGCATCGTGTAGCTTCCAGGCGATGGCGTTGAGGAGGCGGATGAGACTGGCCTCGCTCACGCGGCGGCGGAACAGAGGGTCGGTGGTCAGGGTGCGGAAGGTGTCATTGCGGATCTTGGAGTAAGCCGGCGAGGCGCCACGGTGTACGAAGCCGAGATAGTCATCTGTGCTGAGGACCGGGGCGTCGAGCATGATGAGCCAGACATATATGCGTAACTTGGACTGCAGATGCGAGGCGGGCGGGCGTCAGTCAGGGGCACGAGGGCGCAGGGGCAACTGCTGGGCAGCTCACCATGCCATCACTGTCGCTCTTGATCTCCTGCTTCAAGACCTTGATCCTGGCCGACTCCAGGGCGCTCTCGAAATCGCCGTCGGGAGGGCCATCCCGGATGAGCCTCTCGAGCGACAGGGCATCGTGGGCCAGGGTGCGGCCGGCCAGGGCTCCGCTGTTGCGCAGGGCCTGGGAGGACATTGCTGCGGCGGCGGCGTTGAGTTGGAGGGTCGCTGGGGCGTCGCTGCTGGCTCTGGCGCGCGGGGAAGAAGCGTGGATGGTGGTGCTCGCATGTCTCCTCGCGGAAGGAGGACCGCGATGGTGGTGTTGTTGGTCCTGCTGTCGTACGGCCAGGCGTTGCTGGGCGATGAGGGAGGGGGGGTTCGCGGCGGTCATGGGAGGAGCCCTGGGGCTGGGGGCTGGGTGGGCCGCAAGGCTGTGAGCAGAGGCCAGCTTCCTCAGTGATCGTTGAGAGCCAGGCCCGGGCGAGGATGGCGGTGGCGGGTGAGGGAGGCTGCTATGCCCGGAGCCGTACTGTGTGGACCCGGGCTGGGAGGCGGCGGGTGGGAGTGATTGATCCTGAGGAGTCGGGCTAGGCATGTTGACAGTCTCGTGGCCGGATTGCACCGCGCCGTCGGGTAGTACCTGTGTAGTGTACGTGCTGTGCTCCACTGAAAGTTATCTCTGGATCGCGACTCGAGGGTTTCCTGACAACAGCTTTTTTTTTGGGGGGGGGGGGGGCTGGGGTCGGGGGGCGAGGGGTAGGGGGGTGCGGACGTGCTGGCCAGTTTGCGCGTCATTCTCGCGACAATGCGAGTGTGTCAGGACCCTAACCCTAGGCATTGGCTACCACAAGTTACAGTACGGAGTCCCGCAAGCGGGCGCTATACCCTGACGGGCGTCGACCAGGCAGGCGGGTCCCCGCCGTTGTACATACCTACCTAGGTACCTACCTAGGTACCTACCTAGGTACGTAGGTAGGTACACAGCAGCATCCTGAGCCGCCCAGCCGCCCAGCCGCCCAGCCGCCCAGCCGCGTCCCCGCCGTTTACCTCATCTCTGCCCGCCCACGCTGCCACCCAGACCCATTCCAATTCCGGACCGCGAGCCTCAACTTGCGACGACGTGTTCATGACGTTTCCCTTTCACTGTGGAGAGGGGAGAGGGGGCGCTGCGGAGTACCTAGGTACCTCGCCATGGCGCCTTTCCCCATCTCGGTCACATCTGACGTCTGTTCAAGCCTTTCCAGGGGCTTTCCGGGGGCGCCGCCGAGGAAACAAGACGCCCCAAGCAAAGCTTCAGCGGCTTGACCCGGGTCTTGGGTCTTGGTGTTGGCTTGCCCCGACAAAGCAGGCGGGCAGACAGACTGGCGGGACAAGTGATGCGTCGTCGACTCGCCGCCCGTCTCCCTGACCAATTCGCGCAGGACGACAATGGCATCAGGGCACTAAGAATGGTGCAATAGCCGTTGCCCGCCATGTGATTGGCCCCTCTGCGGCCCATCCCTGGAGCACATCCCCACACTATCGGGACTGCAGCTTGGCATGTCTGCATGTCAGCCGCACGTCGTCAATCTGGCGTCCTGACAGCCTGACAGCCTGACCATTCTGCCATTGCGCCTGCGTCGCTTGTTCGGGCTGCTAGGCGCACACCACCGCACCGCCAGCAACCTTAGATCTTGGGACGGGTGGGGGTTGAGATTTTTTCCCTCGCCCTACCTTGCCAGGCTTGCCCGTCCACCACACATTCAGGCATGTCAGGCCGCGACCACACTATATACACTACATACACAGTAGTAGTATCTACAGTGTGTGCCCCTCGATCCCGGACGGCGCACCCTGAGCTCGATACCCACACGGCCCACCGCCTCGGAGATCTGTACCGGTTGTGAGTCGAGTCGACCTGTCCTGTCGACCTGTCCTGTCGACCTGTCCTGTCCGCCTACGGTCCAAGGACCTGTCCTGAACCGCCAGCTCGCCTCTCCTGTTGCCCGCCCCAGCCCACCCAGGTGGGCATGGTATGCGTGCACCATGTTCAACAAAGAGCAGGCTCGGTGTCGGTGATATGATGTCCGTACCCGTCCAACCGTCAGCACAGGCTGCAGCTGCTAGTCCGTCTTGGATAGGGCAGGGTTCCTCGATCACGCAATCTAGATCCGCCATCCACCCCCCGGGGTATCCCGCCACGGCCGCTCCTCCTTTTGATATTCCATATTTCATAATGTCACAATGCTCCAGCTCAAGATGCTCCTCTCAAGATCCCGCCCTCCTTCACTCTGTGCGCCATTTCCACCGCCCCCCTCCCTCCTCGCCTGCCCCGTGGGATATCGCTTCCACGCCTTTTCCCTGGCGAGACCCTGACCTTCGGGACTTTTACCAGCGCTACTGTCTGTCCCCTGGCATTGGACATTGGAAGGAGTCGGCCCAGTTCGCATTGGGCTCTGGTCTTGTTTAGACGAATTGCGACATACGCCAGCGACTCTCGCCATCTCGAAGCCTGTATCCCTCTTGTGGATTTGAAAAGACCAGCACGCGGCTGCCTTCACAAGGCCCGCCGTCGCTGTGGCCTGTAGAGGGCTGCGCTGTCTGTCCCCCGCGTGCGATATTTCAAGCCACGCGCCACCCACCTTCGTCTGCCTCTTTCCTCGCGCCCTTGCCTCCGCGGAAGCACATCCCTGCGGGCCCATCTGCTCGGTAACCAATCCAGTACACTACTGCAGGATATATATCGCAGTCGTCCCCGGCTCGTCAGGTCCCCAACCTGGCCTCAACCCGTCGTCAGTTCCACAAGAGAGTGGCCGTCTCTCTCACCTCCCCCCGTACCAGCTCCTCGGGCCTTCAGATTTCAGATATCGACATGGCAGACGTCCGCACCAAAATCGGCCATGGATTGGCCAAATTCTTCAGTATCGAGCTCCAGAAACCTCAACCCTACGAGGATGAGGTTACAAGAGGCGAGTCAGTGTGCTCAACAGACACCTTCGTCGAGGAGCCCCCGACCGCCGGGGAGTACTTTCGGGAGCTCGCACCCTCAGGCAGGCAGGTTCTTGCCTACCTCAAGTCCCTCTTTCCCTTTCTATACTGGATCGGGAAGTACAACCTGCAATGGTTCGCCGGCGATCTGGTAGCAGGTCAGTCTTGCGCCCACTACGGTCCTGCATGCGCACATCTTTGACTAGAAGCAGGTATCACCATCGGCGCCGTCGTGGTCCCTCAGGGTATGGGATATGCATCACTTGCAAATCTCGAGCCCCAGTTCGGGCTGTACTCGTCGTTCATGGGCGTCTTGATCTACTGGTTCTTTGCCACTTCTAAGGATATCACCATCGGAGTAAGTATCGAGTCGGGTGTTAGTCGCGGGTCAAGAAAAGATACTGACTCCTCAAGCCTGTCGCCGTCATGTCTCAAGTGACTGGCAATGTGGTCTCCGACCTGCGCAAAGAGTTCCCCGACCTCCCAGCGCACTTCATTGCCTCAGCCTTGGCCATTCTCTGCGGCGCCATCGTCCTCTTCATCGGAGCCATCCGTCTTGGGTGGATTGTTGACATGATCCCCCTCGTGGCTTTGTCGGCTTTCATGACTGGGTCGGCCATCAACATCCTCGTCGGCCAGGTTCCCACCATGATGGGCATTTCCTTCCCCAAGCCTTGGACCACGCGCGACTCGACGTATCGCGTCATCATCAACACGCTCAAGTACCTCCCGAGGACCAAGCTCGATGCTGCCATGGGACTGACGGCCCTTGTCATGCTCTATGGCATTCGAGCTGCGTGTCAGTTCGCCGCCAAGAAGTACCCGAGACGCCAGAAACTGATATTCTTCATATCGACGCTTCGCACCGTCTTTGTCATCTTGCTGTATACCATGATCAGCTGGCTTGTCAACATGCACCGCAGATCGCACCCCGCGTTCAAGATTCTCGGGAATGTCCCCAGAGGTAGGCATCCTTCTCGTCTTCTGCGCCGCAGGCCGCAATGTCACTGACAGTCACCGATCCAGGCTTCCAGAACGCCGCGGTCCCCAGGCTGGACAAGGATCTCGCCAGTGGTCTCGTGTCTTACCTCCCGGCCTCATGCATTGTGCTCCTCATCGAGCACATCGCCATCTCCAAGTCCTTCGGCCGGGTAAACAACTACGCCATCAACCCATCGCAGGAGATGGTAGCCATCGGAGTTACGAATCTCCTTGCGCCGTTTCTGGGTGCCTACCCCGCCACGGGATCCTTCAGCCGCACTGCCATCAAGGCCAGGGCTGGAGTCCGGACCCCATTTGCTGGTGTCATATCCGCGATCGTTGTCCTCCTGGCCATCTATGCCCTGCCCGCAGTCTTCTTCTACATCCCTAGCCCCTCTCTGTCGGCTGTCATCATTCACGCTGTGGGTGATCTGGTGACCCCGCCCAACACCGTGTACCAGTTCTGGCGCGTCTCGCCCTTTGAGGTCTTCATATTCTTCGTGGGCGTCTTCGTGACCATCTTCACAACAATTGAGGACGGGATCTACTGCACAATTTGCATCTCAGCCGCGATGCTGCTGTACCGCATCCTTCGGACCCGCGGCCGCTTCCTCGGACGCATCAAGGTGCACTCCGTGCTTGGTGACCAGGTCATTGGCAACGAGTCGAACCGCGCAATTGGCGAGTATGGCACCTTCTCGGGCCAGAGATCGACCCATCACGAGGAGCCACAGACGCGCAACATTTTCCTCCCCATCGACCACGGGGACGGCTCTAACCCTGCCGTGGAACTCGATGAGCCTTACCCTGGCGTGTTCATCTACCGCTTCAGTGAAGGTTTCAGCTATCCCAACGCCAGCCACACCCTCGAGTACATGACCGACTACATCTTTGCGCGGACCCGCAAGACCAACATGCAGGAGTTCGCGCGCCCGGGCGACCGACCGTGGAATGACCCTGGGCCGTCCAGGCGCGCCCTGAAGAAGGCTGCAGCCGCCAACGTGAACCTCCACGCGGCGGAGGAGAAGCTCCCCACACTCAAGGCCGTAATCCTTGACTTCAGCTCGGTCAACTTCGTCGACATCACCTCGGTCCAGCAGCTCATTGACGTGCGCAACCAGCTAGACCGGTATACGGCCCCCGAGTACGTCGACTGGCACATTGCGTGCATAAACAACCGCTGGACCAAGCGCGCCCTCGTCGCCGCCGGCTTCGGCTATCCCACAGAGCGGCCCGACGGGCTGCACCACCGATGGCAGAGCATATTCTCCGTGGCCGAGATAGGCGGTGAGGATTCGGCGGCCGCGGCAGAGGAGGCGCGGCTGAACGAGAAGACGGTCAGGGAGCGTGAGCACATGGAGGCCGACGCCGAGGGCGGCCTCCGCACCCACGGCGCGGCGCAGGACAGCATCAACATCGCCGAGACGGCCAGCGCCAGCGTGGGCAGCTCGCATGAGGAGGAACTCAAGGGCTTCAGGGCGACGGCAAGCAAGTCACCCGGCCTCAGGCAGCGGAAGGCCGTCGCCGTGCACGGGCTCAACAGGCCCCTGTTCCATGTTGACCTGACGAGCGCGCTACAGAGCGCCATCACGAACATCGAGGCTAGGAGCTCCGGTGCAGTGAGGAGGTCGGTGGGTAGCGCAGCCGGGGAGGCAGGCAAGGACCTCTAGCTTGTTCCTGTCCTTGGTATGATACTTGTTTGCCAGTCACAAAAAACAATGCCAGCCATCATCGACTGCATTCGCGTGACTGACTGTTCCGGCTCTCGGATGGGCCAAGCGGCATTTCAAGGCGCATCCTACCTGACCTTTGGGATGCCTGGCGTCAGGCCTCAGCCGCGGCTGGATGAGTTGACGACCAAGTTTTGGCCGGAAGATGGATCCTACGTGACACGGCTCGGTGTATAGCCGTGCAGATAGGATTGGAAAACGGTGGCTACGCCGTGGTGGACTTGTCTCATTTATGATATCCCCTTGCCGCAATGTTCAGTATATATTTTTGGGATTTGACGCCTGTTTGATTGCTGAGATTCACAGGGTACATAGAAATTAATTACTTCTGTCCATGTCTTCGGGGCTTGACAATCTGGAAGCAGCCTGGTTTTGAATTGAAAACTTACCAGGCGCTCTGTAAGCAGTAGGTCCTTTCGCACCCGGAAAGGCGCCATCGACCCTGTGCTCAACATTCTATAGCCTCTCGAGCAGAAGATGGCCATTTAACTCACCAGAGTTACTACGTTCAGGCAGCTTCCAATTGACGTTTGCCCCCTTTTGACGCTGGCCCCAGCTCGAATTATTCATGCCACGACCGAGGCTTAGTCAGCTGACGCGCGAGCGCAGCTAATTGCATTCTTTGCTCAGGCTTAGGGAGGCGCAGAGCGTAGACTATTTCAAAAGTCTATTTTCAGCTCTCAGCTTACCCCACTCCAACTTTCTACCCCCCATATATTAGACAGTAACCTACTAGGCTATAACTTTTTATTTTACTCTACTTTTATTTATAATCTAATTATTATAATACCTTTCTTTTAAATATATATACTTAATATTAATTATAGCTACTTTATAATTTTCTATTATAATTTATTATAATTAATATAATATTATATTATTTACTTAATTATTTCTTTTTTTTAAGTAAGCTGCTTACTAACCCCTTTAAGCTTTTTAATAATAATACTATTAACTTTAAACTTACTATTTAGTTTATTAATAAGTTTTATATAAATAAATATAATAATATTAGTTATTTTCTTAATAATATCTAGATAAGATATTTATAGCTCTTAATAATATTATAAATTTTAATATAATTGTTTATATATATATTAAGCGCCTTTTAAAGTAAAATAGGTATAGGATACTAAGTGTAAAATTTAATTAAATACTAAGTAGGATATTAATAGATTTACCTATATTTACTCTATTATAATATATATTTTCTATAATAAAAAATATAGGCTATATAATACTTATGCTAACTAGTTTTATTTAATTTAAATAATAAGTATATTAATAATATTTTAGGTTATGCTAAAGGTATTTATATAAATTATTATTATTTTAGTTATAAAGGAATATACTTTTATTATATTAGTAAATACTTTTTAGGTTTTTAGGTAATAAAGTATTATTAATATAAGTAGTACTTAAAGTCTAGAAAATAGTTAAGAAATAGTAAGTAATTATTAAGTTTAAGGGCTTTATTAAAGAGTAGTTTAAAAATGCGCCCCTTAAAAGCTTTATAAAGTAATATATTATTATTAATAATAAAATTTAGGTATATAAAGAGTTTTAATAAATCCTAATATGTCCTAAATGTAAGTAAGCTTAGAAATAATATAGTAATAGTATTATAGGATTATTAAAATGAAAATATAGGTATTTAGGATTATAGAGTAGTTGTATAAAAGTAAAGAATTAAGAATATTAAGATAGTATATTAAAAGTAGTTTAAATTAATTATAAAATTTAATATATTTAAGTAAGTATAAAATTATTTTATATATATTTTTATAATATATATAAAAAGGAGTATAAGAATATTAACTTTAAATATATATATTTAAAGTTTAATTAATAAATAGTAAAATTATTAAGTATATATAAATATATTATAAAAATAATTTATAATAAAAATATTTCTATTTATTAAATACTTTTAAAATAATAATAATTATATATTTAATAATATATTAATATTAAATTAAATTAATATATAATTTTAATATTATAAAATTTATTTTAAAATTAAATTTAATATTTAATATTATTTATTTAATTTTATTTATATATTTTATTTAATTTATATATATAATAATAATTAATATATTAAAAGTTTTTATATTTAATAATATAAATAAATAAATTATTAATTTTAAATATTAATAATAAAATAAAAGGAAATTAAAAATATTAAATAAAAGGAAATTTTAATTAATTTTATATATAATATTTATAATAAATTTTAATTAAAATAATAAGTAAATTAATTTATAATTAAATTAAATTTAATAAAAATATAAAATTTAAATTTTTATATTAAATTTTAATAAAAGAATTTTTAAATATTTAATTTTAATTTTTAAAATTATATTTATTATATTATATTTTTATTTTATTTTAATATAATTTATATATTATTTATTAATATTTATAATTATTCTTTTAAATTTTAAATATTCTTTATTATAATTATTTTAATAAATATTTTTTTATATTTTCTTTTATATTTTTAAATATAATTTTAATATTAAATTTATAAATAATTTATTTATAAAATAATTATTATATTTTAATATTAAAATACTTTAATATTTAATTTTATTTAAAATATAAATAATATAATAAAATATAAAAATAAAAATATATAAAGGTTTTAATAAAGAGTTTATAAAAAGTTTTTATATTATTTTAATTTTATTTAAAAAATTTATTTAAAGTTTTTTTAAAATTTATTTATATATTAAATTATTTACAAAAATAAATAAAATACTTTTTAAAATTATATATATATATTAATAATTTATTATTAATAATTATAAATATTTATATTATTTTATTATTAATTATAATTAATTTTATAATTAAAATTAAAATAATTTTAAATATATTTTTAATTTTTATAAAGATTTTATAATAATTATTATATTATTAAAATAAATTTTATTATTTATTTTTATTTTATTTTTAAATTATTTATAAATATTAATAATAATTATTTATAAAATAATTTTTTTAATTATTAAATATTAATAATATTTATATAATTTAAAAGTTTTTAATTATTTATTATATAAATTATTTATATTTTAATTATATTATTAAATTAAAATAAATAATTAAAGTTTTAAAATAAAATATAATATATTTTTAAAAATTAATTTAATTAAATTTATTATGAAAAGTTTTTATAATATTATTTATAATTATTTATAATATTATTTTATTATTAAAAATATTTTTATATTAATATATTAAAATTAAAATTATTATAAATTATAAATTTATTTAATATTAATAAATATTATATATAAATATTAAATTTATTATATAATTTAAATAAATTAATTAAAATAAATAAAATAAAATTATTATTTCTTTAAAAGTTTAACTTTATTTAAATAAATATTTATTTATTAAATTTATAAATAAAAGTATTTAAAATAATTATTTAATTAAATTAAAAATATTTTTAAATAAAATAATTATATTTTATTATTATATATAATATTATTTTAAATTTATAGTTTTAATAATTTATAAATAAAAAGATAATTATTAATAATTAAATTTATAATTATATAAAAATAAACTTTTACTTTAAAAAATTATTATTATTAAAATAGTTAATATATTTTTAAAAAGTTAAAAATTATAAATTTAATTTAAAATATATTATAATTTATAAAATTTTAAATTTAAGTTTAAAAATATAAAACTTTAATTTATTTAAAATAAAAGGTTAAAAATTTAAAAAAGTTTAAATTAAATTAAAAATAAATTATAATTTTTAAAATAAATAAATTATATTTTAAAATTATTTTATTATAATAATTTTTATATAATATTTATTTAATAAATCTTTTATTTTTTTATATTTTATTAAATAAAATATTAATATTAATATAATTAATAAAATATTAATTTATTATTTATTATTTTTATATTAAATATTTTAAAATTTTAATTAATAATTTTAAAATATTAACTTTATTTTATTTATTTTATTTATTTTATTTATTTTATTTATTTTATTTATTTTATTTATTTTATTTATTTTATTTATTTTATTTATTTTATTTATTTTATTTATTTTATTTATTTTATTTATTTTATTTATTTTATTTATTTTATTTATTTTATTTTAAAAATAAAATTTATATTAAACTTTTATTATTATATTTAATAATATAATAAATTATTTAATAATTAAAATTTTAAAATATAATTTTAATTAAAATATTATAAATTTAAATTATTAAATATTTTATTATATAAATTCTTTTATTATTTTTATAAATATAAAATATTAATATTTTAATATAAATTTTAAAATATTTTAATTTTATTAAAATATTTAAAATTATTTTTAATTTATATATTAATTTAAATAAATATTTATTAAATAATTTTTATATTAAATAAATTATTTTAAATATAATATATAATTATTAAAAATAAAATAAATTAATAAAATATATTATAATAATTTTATTAATATATATAATATTATTTATTATTAAATAAATTTTTATATTAATATATTAAATTAAATATAATATATAATTATATATATATATTATAGTTTAATACTTTTATATTTATTATAATTTTATTTATAATAATAATAATTTAATTATATAAAATAATATTTAAATTATATTTTAAAATTATATAAATATTATAAATTATATATTTATATAATTATATTTTAAACTTTATAACTTTTATATTTGCCTATAAATATATATATTTAACTTTAGTTATATTAGAATAATAACTAATATATTTATTAATTTTAAAATTAGGTATTTAGTATTTTTAATTTTTTATTACCTTTTTTTTTAGCTTTTAAATTTTTAATTATTTTTAAAATATTTAGTAATTTTATTTATTATTTTATTAATTTATTATTTATAATATAGGCTTTTTTATTAAGTATAATAATAGCGGTATTTATAGGTTTAGATTAAATACCTAAAATGGACTAATTGTTTTATAGCTTTTAGTTTATATATATTAATTTTATTGCTTTTAATTCTATAATTATTATTAATTTTAATAATAATATTTTAAAGAAGTTAAGTACCCTCCTTTTAAAATTTAAATTATTCTTTATATTAGTAAAAATATATTTAAGGAGATTAAATTAGTTAAAGTTAGTTTATTTAATATATATTATAATATATTAAGGGCTATAAATAATAGTTTAAAGTAAAATATATTAAAAATTTACCTTCTTTTATAGTTATAGTTGGTTTTACTTTTTAAGGTGCTTTATATATTAATACTATTTTTAAATATAAAAAGGGGATTAAAGTCTTTATTACTATTATATAATAGAAG